TCCCCAAATGAGTGAGAACATACCCTGTTTGTCCTTCTCCGATTGACGTACTTCACTCAGCATAATACCCTCCAGTTCCATTCACGTTGAAGCAAATGGTGGGTATTTGTTGTTTCTAATGGCTGAGTAATATTCCACTGTATACATAAACCACATCTTCTTTATCCATTCGTCTTTTGATGGACACCGAGGCTCCTTCCACAGTTTGGCTATTGTGGACATGGCTGCTAGAAACATCGGGGTGCAGGTGTCCTGACGTTTCATTGCATCTGAATCTTTGGGGTAAATCCCTAACAGTGCAATTGCTGGGTCGTAGGGCAGGTCTATTTTTAACTCTTTGAGGAACCTCCACACAGTTTTCCAGAGTGGTTGCACCAGTTCACATTCCCACCAACAGTGTAAGAGGGTTCCCTTTTCTCCGCATCCTCTCCAACATTTGTTTCCTGCCTTGTTAATTTTCCCCATTCTCACTGGTGTGAGGTGGTATTTCATTGTGGTTTTGATTTGTATTTCCCTGATGGCAAGTGATGCAGAGCATTTTCTCATGTGCATGTTGGCCATGTCTATGTCTTCCTCTGTGAGATTTCTCTTCATGTCTTTTGCCCATTTCATGATTGGATTGTTTGTTTCTTTGCTGTTGAGTTTAATAAGTTCTTTATAGATTTTGGAAACTAGCCCTTTATCTGATATGTTATTTGCAAATATCTTCTCCCATTCTGTAGATTGTCTCTGAGTTTTGTTGACTGTATCCTTTGCTGTGCAAAAGCTTCTTATCTTGATGAAGTCCCAATAGTTCATTTTTGCTTTTGTTTCTTTTGCCTTCGTGGATGTATCTTGCAAGAAGTTACTGTGGCCAAGTTCAAAAAGGGTTAGGATTTCTACTGGGAATTCCCTGATGCTGAAGAGTTTTCTTTTTTTTTTTTAATTATTTATTTATTTATGATAGTCACACAGAGAGAGAGAGAGAGGCAGAGACACAGGCAGAGAGAGAAGCAGGCTCCACGCACCGGGAGCCCGATGTGGGATTCGATCCTGGGTCTCCAGGATCGCGCCCTGGGCCAAAGGCAGGCGCCAAACTGCTGCACCACCCAGGGATACCCGCTGAAGAGTTTTCTACTTGATAATTTTGAGCCTTCTCCTCTGGAAAGATACTTTCAGAGATTTTTCCACAGAGGTCCTGAACATTTCTAAAAGTTTATTTCTAGACACTTATCATTTTTGTTGCTATTGTGAATGGAATCTTTTTTCTATTACATTGTTTAATTAGTTATTAAGATGTAATAAAGTGATCTTTTTTATATTTTATAATGGTTACACTAATGTACTTAGTTTATATTAAACTATCCAAGTATATAATCATATCTGTAAATCTTTCCCAACATTTACATCTTTTATTACTTATTATTATCTTTATTATGCCCAGTGACACTTCCTGGACAATAGTAAATAATAGTGGCAGTATACAATATTGTTTCTTTTTTATTTAATCTCTACACCCAACATGGGGCTCAGATTCATGACCCCAAGATCAAGTCATCTGCTCTTCCTACTGAACTATCCAGGAGCCCCAGCTCCTGGTTGTAACAGAAGTATTTCTAACATTTCACCAGTAAGTAGATAATGGCAGCTTATTTGGTATATCTATGTTTTTTTTTTCTTGATCATGCTAACGAAACATCTAATTCTTTTTTTACCTTTTCCCTCCTTTTTTCTTTTTTTAAGATTTATTTATTTATTCATGAGAGACACAGAGAGAGAGGTAGAGACACAGGCAGAGGAAGAAGCAGACTCCTTGCAGGGAGCCTGATGTGAGGTTCGATCCCCAGACACAGGATCCAGGATCACATCCTGAGCTGAAGGCAGACACTCAGCTGCTGAGTCACCCAGGTGCGCTGGATCATCCTTGTACTACTCAGTTGGATCACTTGGACTTGACAGTGGGTTTCCCTTTCTGGATTTCCCTTACTCTGCTACAGGCTGACTATGCCAGATCATTTTTCTTGAGACAAAAGATTAGATTTCTGATGATTAAGTTTTGGTTTTACTAGAGGTTACCTTCTTAAGATTTCAGATAGGTCATTAGACTGATTTAGGATATATCCCAAACTTTTAAATTACACATTTATTTTTTTAAAGATATTATTTATTTGAGAAAAAAGAGAGTGAGAGGGAGGGGTTGGGGGAGAGGCAGAAGGAGAATTAGACTCTCTGCTGAGCAGGAAGCTCTGCACTGGGCTGGATACCAGGACCCCAGGATCATGACTCAAGGGTAAGGCAGACGCCTAACCACCTGAGCCACCTAGATGCCCCTCAATTACACATTTGTAAATAGTCACATGGCTTGCTAATTTAACTGTTATATATATATTTTTTTAATTTTTATTTATTTTTGATAGCCACAGAGAGAGAGAGAGAGGCAGAGACACAGGCAGAGGGAGAAGCAGGTTCCATGCACCGGGAGCCTGACGTGGGATTCGATCCCAGGTCTCCAGGATCGCGCCCTGGGCCAAAGGCAGGCGCCAAACTGCTGCGCCACCCAGGGATCCCCTGTTATATATTTTTAACTGTTAGTAAGAACTCTAGCTTATCTTATTTCCAAGTGTTTAGTAGGTTGTCTTGGAAGTGAGGAACAGAAAACTACTCAAACTAGTTAAGCAGAAGAAATGGAAGGGAGACTTACTGGAATGTAGGAGTATCTCATAGATCTCAAGAACAGTAAGTACTACTGGGCTCCTAAGAAATTGGAAAAATTTGGAAAATATCAGATTTAGGGCATCTGGGTGGCTCAGTGGTTGAGCATCTGCCTTTAGCACAGGTTATGATCCTGGGGTTCTGGGATCAAGTTCTACATAGACTCCCTGCAGGGAGCCCACCTCTCCCTCTGCCTATGTCTCTGCCTCCCTGTGTCTCTCATGGATAAATAAAGAAATTAAAAAAAGAAAGAAAGAAAGAAAGAAAGAAAGAAAGAAAGAAAGAAAGAAAGAAAGAAAGAAAGAAAGAAAAAAGAAAGAAAGAAAAAAAGGAGATGTCAGATTTAAAAACTCTTTTCTTTCTGTCCCCTTCTCTCCCACTTTTTTAGTCTCTCAATTTCTTGATCTTTGTACAGATGAGGTTTCTCTGGCTTGACATCCATGCAGCCACAAGAGTTTCATTTCATTTATTTTTTAATTTTTATTTATTTTTTAATATTTTATTTATTCATGAGAGAGAGAGAGAGAGAGAGGCAGAGACACAGGCAGAGGGAGAAGCAGGCTCCACGCAGGGAGCCCGACAAGGGACTCGATCCAGGGTCTCCAGGATCACGCCCCGGGCCAAAGGCGGCGCTAAACCGCTGAGCCACCCGAGCTGCCCTATTTATTTTTTTTAAAGATATTATTTATTTATTCATGAGAGACACACACAGAGAATGGTGGAGACACATGCAGAGGGGGAAGCAGTCTCCCTGCAAGGAGCCCAATATCGGACTCCATCCCGGGCGTTGACGCTCAACTTCAACCGCTGAGCCAACCAGGTGTCCCACAAGAATTTCATTTTAATGTGAAAGGTCAAAGTCACAGGTGACTCCATTCAGCCAAGAGGGGCTATGGGTGTGCAGTTGGGTGGGGTGTGAAGGGGTGTGAAGACTAGGAGGTAAAGGCGGGTATATTTGGTATGGAAGGCAGTTCATTATTATCCCCGGGTACTATATATAATCCCTAAGTTAGATTGAGGTGCCTCCAGAATGCTACCTGAATCTGTTGTCATTGCTCTAACAAGCAAACCTTCATCCTTTGAAATATTGCAAGAACTTCCTAAGAGTTGGCTGTTCTATCTCTTTCCTGAACTCTCTCCTTCATTGCCACAACAATGGGAAGATTAAATAAAAACTTTAAGAACTTTAAAGCACTCCACAAATATACAGTAGTAGTGGGGGAAAAATAGATCTAAATAAAGTAGTAGTAGGGGAAAGATTGATCAAACCATAGAACTCCTCTGCTCAAAAACTTTCAATGAGGAGTGCCTGAGTGGCTCAGCCGTGGAGCCCCTGCCTTTGGCTCCGTTCATGATCCGAGGGTAGTGGGACGAGTCCCACGTTGGGCTCCCCAGGGAGCCTGCTTCTTCCTCTGCTTCTCCCTCTGCCTCTCTGGGTGTCTCTCATGAATAAACAAAATCTTAAAAAAAATAAGATTTTTAATGATTTCCCCATTACCTAAAGAATGAAGACTAAAGCTCCACACATGGCCTTAAGCTTCTTCATAACCTGAATGAAATGTTAATTTTCCAGTATCAGCGTCTCTAGGACACTTTTCCTCCCTCATCAGACAATTCTGTCGCTTGACCACGTTATTTCCATACCCATAGGGCTCTATATGCTTAAGTCTCCCATCTCCGTTTCTTTGCCCAGGAAACCCCATTAACGCTTTAAAACCGGAGTCACAGGTCCAACCTCCCAGTAAACAAGGTTTATTTTCTCAAAATCAGTGTCTCCTGCCCTTGGAGTCTTCCAAATCTCAAGTACCAAGACTTGACTAATATTTCAGCCATTTTTCTCCCCTTCGTTAGCTGTTTCCAGTTCCATCTCAGCTCTACCACCTCCAGGGGCCTGGAAAACCCCAGGCTCCGGGAATTTGACTAAATCGGAAGCTCAGATTAAACGTCCAGGTTTAGAAACTAAAGAGGCAAATCAAGAGTAGCTCTCCAGAGCCAGACCTTGCCCCAGCAGGGGTGAGGCGCTAAAAGTGGTATGCGACCCTGTGCCTGCTGGGAGATGGAGTCTCCGACCCGCCCCACTGCCTCTTGGGAGTTGTAGTCCTTGGTCTGGTAAAAGGGAAAGAAGCGGCGACTCCCAAATTGTGAATTAGTTTTTAGGGGTAAAGGGAAGAGGGAAATGCCTAACGTGAGGCAAGATCAAGTTCCTTGGACTCAACTAGGGTTCGCGAGCAGCCGCAGAGCGGGCTAGACCTCGGGGCCGAGGGGGCGGGGAGACGTTACGTTGACGCTGGCGTGACCCAGCCGGAGAATTTGGCGGGATCTCCAAACACTCCCGGGGAGGGAGCTCTGCGGTTTGAGACCCCGGCCTGAGGAGACTGACGCGCCCTTAGGGGCGTAGTTGGGAGCTGAAGCTCGCTTGGGTTGTGTGCGGAAGGCGGCAAAAAGGGAGTAGAAAATTTGGCAGCAAGGGAGGGAGTCCAGAGCCCGTCCAGAGTCGTGCGCGGACCGGACCAGCGGACAGAAGTCGGAGCGCGCAGCCCGGCAGAGTGAGGGGCGCTGTGGACCGAGGTGAGCGTGTGAGGCGTAGACTCGGCCCCTTCTGCCTCCCGGTGCGTCCCCGCATTAGCCGAACCGGGCGGAGCCCGTGCCGCCGGCAGCCGGCTTATGGGCCCCTCTGCGCCAAGTGAGAAACCGGAGTTGGCGGGGCGGAGCAGGGTCATGCCCGGGCCCAACCCACCGTCGGGGCTCGTTGAAGGAACCTCAGAGGCCTTCATTTCCAACACCCGGTTCATGGGCGGGGGCGGGAAAGCCGAGATCCAGAGAGGTGTTGTGATTTAACGTCACAGCTGTTTCTGTCGGGGCCAGGGTTTCCGGATTTCTGGTTAATCCTCTTTCCATTACACCCTGCTTTGCTTACGGAGTACCCGCTTCCAATTTCCTAAAAGGCGTTTTCCTTAGCTAATTCAGGCCGTTCGTGTGATGATGCCTGGGGAATGATCTGTTGTGAAGTGGTTTCTTTTGACTGCTAAAGTGAAGTGTGATATGCGTATAGAAGAATATACAAATCAGAAGTGTATAGTATACGCCTCTGATTTCAAAAAGAATATACCTGTGCAGTCATTACTCAGGTCAATAAATAGAATGTTGTCAGCACCCCAAAAACATCCCTCGTTCCCCCTCTAGTATGTCCCCTGTTCTCTCCAAAGGTAACCTCTGTATTGACTTCGGACACAAAGACTAAATTTGCCTGTGTTTGAGTTTTGTATAACTGATATTACATATCTATCTTTAAAAGGTTTTGTTTATTCATTTATTTATGAGAGACGCAGAGGGAGAAGCAGGCCCTTCAGGGAGCCTGCTGCGAGACTCGATCCCAGAAGCTCGGGATCATGACCTGAGCGACAGCAGATGCTCAACTGCTGAGCCACCCAGTTTCCCCATATTATGTATATTTTTGTGTTTGGTTTTGCTCAACATGCTGTCTGTAGATTCATACTTATTTTTGTATATAGTAATAGTTCTTTTTTGTTTCTTTTATTTATTTATGATAGTCACACATAGAGAGAGAGAGAGAGAGGCAGAGACACAGGCAGAGGAAGAAGCAGGCCCCATGCACCGGGAGCCCGACATGGGATTCGATCCTGGGTCTGCAGGATCGCACCCTGGGCCAAAGGCAGGCGCCAAACCGCTGCGCCACCCAGGGATCCCTCTTTTTTGTTTCTGTATTGAATTCCTTATTCATTCTGCCCATGGTGGACATTTGGGTTGTTTCTAGTTTCTGAGTTTTTAAATGAGAAAAGCTGCAGAGAACATTCCTGCGTATGTTTTGGTACAAACGTGTATGTTTTTCAGTTGGTTAGTAATACAACGTTGAAATTCCTGGGTCATAGCATTTGTCTATATTCAACTTCCACATTTAATGCCAGCTTTCTTTTTTTAAAGATTTTATTTATTTATTCATGAAAGAGAGTGAAGGGCAGAGACACAGGCAGAGGGAGAAGCAGGCTCCATGCAGGAAGTCTGATGTGGCATTGGATCCCGACACTCCGCATCCATGCCCTGGGCCAAAGACAGGTGCTAAACCGCTGAGCCACCCAGGCATCCCTACTGCCAGTTTTCTGCTACCAATTTACATTTACGCCAGCAGTGTATGAGTGTTTAGTTTTTTCACATGCTTGCCAACACTTGATATTGTCAATCTTTTAAAATTTTATCTATTTTGGTGGCATATAGTAATACTTCGTGGTTTTAATTTTGATTTTCCTGATAATTAGTCAGGTTGAGCATTGGTTCATCGTTTTTGGTCCATTTGGACATCTTCTATCCTGAAGTACTTGTTCCAATCTCTTGTCTGTTTTTCTATTGGGTTGCCTTTCTTTTCTTTCTTTTTTTCTTCCTTCCTTCCTTCCTCCCTCCCTCCCCTTCCCCTCCCTTCCCCTCCCTTCCCCTCCCCTCCCCTCCCCTCCCCTCCCCTCCCCTCCCCTTCCTTTCCCTTCCCTTTGTTTCCTTTTCTTTTTTTAAGATTTTATTTATTCATTCCTGAGAGAGAGGCAGAGGGAGAGGGAGAAGCAGAAGCAGGCTTCATGCAGGGAGTCCGATGTGGGACTCGATCCTGGGACTGCGGGATCACACCCTGAGCCAAAGGCAGATGCTCAACCGCTGAGCCATCCAAGTGTCCCTATTGGGTTGCCTTTCTTGCTGATTTGAAGTTCTTTATATATTTTAATTATCAGCCCTTAGTTGTATATATGGTAAATATTTTGTCCCCCAACTGTAGTTTGACTTCATTTTCTTAATAGTGTCTTTTGATGGATAGAAGTTTTAAGTTTAAATGTAGTCCGATTTTTCAGTCTTTTCTTTTTTCGTTGTTGCTTTATGTTTAAGAAATCTTTATCCCGAAGTCATGAAAACATTCACCTATATTCCAAAAGCTTTGTTTTACCTCTTATATTTAGATCTATAATCGAATTGGAAACGGATGTTTCTTCTGTATGTGCAGTGTTTTATTTTGTTTTTGTTCTTTTTTTTGTTCTTTTTCTTATTCTGTAAGGCTCTCCCATCAACCTAGCACTTTTTATTGGAAAAAAAAAAAAACATCCTTTTTCCATTCTCTGTAATTCCATCTTCTTAAATTATGAAGGGAGGTCTTTAAATTTTTTTTTTTTTTTTAAGATTTTAAGACCCGGGATCGAGTCCCATGTCGGGCTCCCTGCATGGAGCCTGCTTCTCCCTCTGCCTGTGTCTCTGCCTCTCTCTCTCTCTCTCTCTCTCTCTCTCTCTCTCTCTCTGTGACTATCATAAATAAATAAATAAATAAATAAATAAATAAATAAATAAATAAATAAGTAAATAAACAAATAAATAAATAAACAAACAAATAAATAAATAAATAAAATTTATAAAAAGATTTTATTTATTCTGGGCAACCCTGGTGGCTCAGCGGTTTAGTGCCGTCTTCAGCCCAGGGCTTGATCCTGTAGACCCTGGATCGAGTCCCACGTCGGGCTGCTTGCATGGAGCCTGCTTCTCCCTCTGCCTGTGTCTCTGCCTCTCTCTCTCTCTCTCTCTCTCTCTCTCTCTCTCTCTCATTCTCTCATTAAAAAAAAAAAAACTTAAAAAAAAAAGATTTTATTCATGAAAGACACAGAGAGAGGCAGAGACATAGGCAGAGGGAGAAGCAGGCTCCATGCCGGAAGCCCAATGGGGGACTTGGGACTCTAGGATCACTCCCTGAGCCAAAGGCAGACACTCAACCGCTGAGCCACCTAGGCATCCCAAGATGTTTAAATTTAAACTGCATTCAGGTGATTCCAGTATTTAACATTATCAAAGACATACATTATGCTAAATCTGCCATCTAAGAGATCTGCATCTGAACTAATTAAGAACAAATGGTCATTTCCAAAGAAGACACAAATTAATTGCAAACAGACACATGAAAAGGTGTTCAACATCTTTAATCATCAGGGAAATGCAAACCAAAACCGCAATGAGATATTAGGTCCCATCTACCAGAATGGCTAAAATTAAAAAGATAAGAAATAGGGGAGCCTGACTGGTAAGGATGTGGAAAAAAAGGAACCCTCATGAACTGTTGGTGCACTGATTTACATTTGTGCAGCTGCTATGGAAAACAGTATTGAGATTCCTCAAAAAATTAAAAATGGAAATACCATGTGATCCAGTAATTGCACTACTAGGTATTTACCCAAAGAAAAAACACTAACTTGAAGAGATATATGCAACCCATTGTTTATTGCAGCATTATTTATAATAGCCAAGATATGGAAGCAACCCAAGTATCCATCCACACATGAATGGATAAAGGATATGTATACACACACACACACGAGATCTTCCTCTTTGCAACAATATGGGGGAACCTAGAGGGTACTATACTAAGTGAAATAAGTCATACAGAGAAAAAAATATGATATGATTTCATTTATATGTGGAATGTAAAAAAAAATAAATGAACAAAGAAAAAGCAGAAACAGACCCATAAATACAGAGAACAAACTGATGGTTCCCAGAGGGAAGGAGGAGGAATGGGCAGAGGGGTGAAAGTGAGTGAGAGGTACAGGCTACCAGTTATGGAATGAATAAATCACAGGAATAAAAGGTAGAGCTTAGGGAATATAGTAAGTGATATTGTAATAGTGTTGTTTGGTGACAGATGGTAGCTACACTTATGGTGAGCATAGCATAACATACAGACTCATCAAATCACTATATTGTATGCCTGAAACTAGGACACCTAAAACTAATGTGACATTGTGAATCAACTTTACTTTAAAAAAGTTGGGAGATGGGCAGCCCAGTTGGCTCAGCGTTTTAGCACCTGCCTTCGGCCCAGGGTGTGATCCTGGAGACCCGGGATCAAGTCCCACGTCAGGCTCTCTGCATGGAGCCTGCTTCTCCCTCTGCCTGTGTCTGTCTATCTCTCTCTGTCTCTCATGAATAAAATCTTAAAAAAAAGAAAAAAAAAAAAAAAGGGCAGTCTAGGTGGCTCAGCGGTTTAGCGCCACCTGCAGCTCAGGGCATGATCCTGGGGACCCGGGATCGAGTCCCACGTTGGGCTCCCTGCATGGAGCCTGCTTCTCCCTCTGCCTGTGTCTCTGCCTCTCTCTCTCTCTCTCTCCTCTCTGTGTATTCTCATGAATAAATAAATAAATAATCTTAAAAAAAAAAAGTTGTTAAGCAGCTACCATCAGCTCAGGTCTTGATCTCATGGGGGGCGGGAGGGCCCCCCCCTCCCCCATTCAGGTTCCTTGCTCAGCCCAGAGTCTGCTTCTCCCTATCCCTCAGCCCTCTCCCCCACCTCATGGGCTCCCTCCCTCTCCCTCTTTCAGATAAAAAAAGAAAATCTTCAAAAAAAGAAATGGTCCCCTTCTGTCAAATCTTGAAGAATAGAGATTTCATATGTGTTCTTTTTTGAGTGACATTTATCCTGATTGTTAAATTGTCCAGATTGTTTTGGTGTGGTTTAAGTTCATTTGTTCTTGTGAACATTAAGACTTATTTACCTTTAGGGTGCCTAGGTGGCCCATTTGGTTAAGTCTTTGACTCTTGTTTCAGCTCAGGTCATGATCTCAGGGTCATGTGATCCAGCCCCCTTGGGCTTTGTGCTAGGTCTGAAGCCTACTTAAGATTCTCTGGGAAGAAAGAAAAAAAAAAAAGATTCTCTGGGGGGAAAAAAAAGAGATTCTCTGATTCTGGGCACCTGTGGGTGGCTCAGTGGTTGAGCATCTGCCTTCCACGTAGGTCGTGGTCCAGGAGTCCTGGGACCGAGTCCCACATCAGGTTCCCTATAGGGATCCTGCTTCTCATTCTGCCTATGTCTCTGCCTCTCTACATGTCTCTCAAGAATAAATAATTAAAATCTTAAAAAAAAAAAAAAGATTCTTTGATTCTTCCTCTCCCTCTGCTACCTGCCCTCCGACGTGCTCTCTCTCAAGATCTAATAAATAAATAAATAAATAAATAAATAAATAAATAAATAAGACTTTTTCATTTTACTAACACCGCTGAAGAGAATTAAAAGTTTTGTTCTCCATTCTTTTCAACCTGAGCAATATTAACTATCATAATAACCTGACTAGGTATGGACTTAATGCCTATAGAAAAGGTTTTAGACTGAGCAGGGTACTTGAATATTATTTATTCGTTTGCGCATTCAGTGAGGTCTGAAATTGATTAAAATTGTGATGTTTTAATTTCATACATTCCTATTAGAAGCAGAATATGTGACTACAAGCTATGATCCTTGGCTAAGATGGGAAGTACCTCTCTCAGTCTACTTAATGTCTTATCAGAAGTAGAGGCTTGGACAGTCCCGGTGGCGCAGCGGTTTAGCGCTGCCTGCAGCCCAGGGCGTGATCCTGGAGACCTGGGATTGAGTCCCACGTCAGGCTCTCTGTGTGGTGCCTGCTTCTCCCTCTGCCTGTGTCTCTGCCTCTCTGTCTCTATGAATAAATAAAATAAAATCTTAAAAAAAAAAAAAGAAGTAGAGGCTTATGGGCAGTCATTCTGTACCTTTAGTTTACTCCTTTCCCACCACCCTCAACCCTGTTTGCTGGAAAGGAACAATGAAATTGAAACAGTTTAACAAACTTTCATGATTCTTTTTTTCTTAATTTTAAGTAGACTCTTGGAAAGTCTACATTCATTTACCAAAAACTTACCAAACACCTAACATGTAACGTATCATGGGATGTACACAAATAAATAAGACTTGGCTCCTACCTTGAAGGAATATGAAACAGGGGAATGGGGGGCATAATTGGTCTAGGTAAGCTGTGCATCTTTAAGAAGCAGACTAGTTAGTCCTGGCTCTTCTACTATTTCTTTCTTTCTTTCTTTCTTTTTTTTCAAGATTTTATTTATTTATTCATGAAAGACACACACACACACAGAGGCTGAGACAAAGGCAGAGGGAGAAGCAGGCTCCATGCTAGGAGCCGACATGGGACACGATCCCGGGACCCCAGGATCACACCCTGGGCCGAAGTCAGGAGCTAAACCACTAAGCCACCTAGGGATCCTCTCTTCTACTATTTCTGATAGAACTAGCTCGATGGAAGGGAAAGCTGGTGAGAAATGTTTTTTTTTTTTTTTCTTGCTGTGGGTAGGTCAGTGATTAGACCAGAAGACTAACAATTCTTCAGAGAGTTATTTTAAAACTAACTTTACAGCTCTGTACTTTTTCTGGCCATCTATGTTTTTCAGTATTAAATGCAAAGTAATGGCTATGCAAATGCAGCTTGAAGCAAATGCAGATACTTCAGTGGAAGAAGAGAGCTTTGGCCCACAACCTATTTCACGATTAGAGGTATGTGCTTAATTGTTAATTTTGGAATTACAATGCTAGATTAGAATATTCTACCTATTGGGAGACATCACAACCTTTATATAAACCATTAATTTATTACCTAAGGTCAAGACCCAAATTAGAGTTTTCAGAAGTGTTGTGAAGGATCCTTTGGAAAGGCTTAAGATAGTTGCTAAACATGTCTGGCCATATCTCCTCTGTTAAGAATTCTTCTACTTTATCATTTTTCTTTCTCAGAGTTGGATTGTCAAAAACTAAGAAACTCCTAGGTGGAGTCTCTGATGTTTATACTGTGTTACCTACCAGGGAATTACAGTGGCCTGGGACAGCTATGCCGAGAAGAGAGAGGAACATTAGCTCTCCATTGACTCATATCTGTGCTGAAGTTACTATTACTAGTAAGACAGCTGTCGTGGTTAGGGAGAAGGGTTTGTGGTTATTAAGGTATAAGAGCCAAGCTCCAATTCAGGACTGAGATCATCATGTGCCACACAGCTAGGGCCTTGTGCTATTTCTTCCCGTTGTATAGAGGCCCCCACAGTGTGAGTGCAGATGAGATAGGCTGAAAGAAGTAGGAGGGAAAACAGAGAAAGCCTTCATTCTTCTGTCTCTTTATACATATTCCTACCATCCCTAGCTAAACTTTAAGACTCCAGAAGTTAATTTAAACAAGTTTGTGATAAATATTCAGAGTCATAACTTCTGGTATCATGAGTATCCTTATAGCAATACATGCATTTTGCTTATTGCTTAAATATTTTTAAAAATATTTTATGTATTTATGCATGAGACACGTGCGCGCGCGCACACACACACACACACACACACGCAGAGGGAGAAGCAGATTCCCTATGGGGAGCCTGATGTGGGACCTGATCCTGGGACCTTGGGACCACAACCTGAGCCGAAGACGGACGCTCAACCACAGAGCCACCCAGGCGTCCCGCTTATTGCCTAAATATTAATAGTAGACCTTGTTTCTATGGGCAAATACTATGGTCTTCCCTCTCACAGACCCTCTCCAACCTGCAAATACATACACATTCCACCATCAACTAATATTGTCCCAGCAGTCATGGTTGTGGTGGCTAATAAAACCAAAGCTGAATTTGCAATATAAGTAGGAAGAGGTGCCTTTGGGTGGTTTATTTTGAGAACTGATGTATGAATCCCTGACCAAAAGTAATTTGCCCCCATTTTTTTTTAAGATTTTATTTATTCGAGAGAGAGCTAGCACCAGTAGGGGGAGGGGCAGAGGGAGACAGAGAAGCAGATTCCCCACTGAGCAGGGAGCCAGATGAGGGGCTAGATCTTAGGACCCTGGGATCATGACCTGAGTTGAAGGCAGCCGCTTAACCAAGGCAGATGCTTAACCGAGTGAGACACCCAGAGCACTCCACTTTTCCCCCACTTTTTTTTTTTAAAGATTTTATTTATTTATTCATGAGAGACACAGAGAGAGAGGCAGAGTCATAGGCAGAGGGAGAAGCAGGCTCTGTGCAGGGAGCCTGATGTGGGATTCAATCCAGGCATTCTGGGATCATGCCCTGAGCTGAAGGCAGAAGCTCAACCACTGAGCCACCCAGGCATCCCTTTTCCCCCATTTTTAATATCAGTTGTTAGATTAGAGCTTTCTAGTCATTTTTCTACCCTTAGCCCTGAGGCAGTCTTTTTAAGTTTTTTTTTTTTAATATTTTATTTATTCATCAGAGACACCGAAAGAGAGGCAGAGACACAGGCAGAGGGAGGAGAAGCAGGCTCCATGCAAAGAGCTCAATGCGGGACCTGATCCTGGGAATCTGGGATAATGCCCTGAGCCACCCAGGCATCCCAGCCCTGAGGCAGTCTTACCTATTTACTCTACCTTAGTGTTTAAAAAAAAAAAAAATCATTTCTTATGTGTGCTTAATGTAGAAAACATTGGAAACACTGTTTTAAGGTGGCTTTTTAGGGCTTAGGCTCTCAGTTTATTTAGAGTCCTAGTTGTAAAAGGTTGAGAGTTACAGATTTATTCCCAGTACCTGTGAATTAGGGGTTTAGTCCCAATTCATGATGTGAATGTGTACATGGGCTAGTACTACTTTGAAAGTATTGGTTTTCAAAATGAAAAGGTTGATAATTTGTTATTAAATACCTTATATGTACAGCATACTTTTCAAAGCTTTTGCATATAATATCATAGTTCTTCAAAACACCTCTGAAGTGGGTAGGGCAAATATCCATCCACATTAGAGAACTGAAGCTTACTAAAAAAAATTTTTTTTAAAGATTTTATTTATTTATTTATGGGAGACAGAGAGAGAGAGGCAGAGACAGGCAGAGGGAGAAGCAGGCTCCATGCAGGAAGCCCAGTGTGGGACTCGATTCGGGGACTCTGGGATCATGCCCTGAGCCAAAGGCAGACACCCAACCGCTGAGCCACCCAGGCGTCCCAAAGCTTACATAAATTTATCCATGGTTTTCTTCCCTTGCAGCAATGTGGCATAAATGCCAATGATGTGAAGAAATTGGAAGAAGCTGGATTCCATACTGTGGAGGCTGTTGCCTATGCACCAAAGAAGGACCTAATAAGTATTAAAGGGATTAGTGAAGCCAAAGCTGACAAAATTCTGGTAAGTACTGCTTATGTAGCCTTAGGGGGAGGCATTAGGAGGAAAAGTACAAAAAGATATACAGTGAAAGGTAACAGTGTTCCTCCTTCCTTCCTCATTGTGTCATCGAATTCCCCTGTCCAGAGGTGAGTGCCCTAGTTAATTATCTTAGTATGTGCCTCCGTGCATAAATTGGGGTTTTCTCTCAAGGAAATGACAATTTCATGGGATGTGAGTCCTACCAGATTTACAAGTTTGTATTCCCACCAGCAGTGAGTGGTATGTTCCTTATCTTTCTAGAAATTATGATTTCATGCCTTAGAAATATATATATTCATTAGTATGTAGCCACTGAAAAGTTTCAAAAAATATTCATTGACATAGGAAGATGTTCCTGATATAAGAAAGCAGCATCATAAAACATGTAAATGTGTGTGTGTGTGTGTGTATATATATATATATGGTTTTAAAAATGTATTTTGTTATATATAGCACATACATAGGATAAATACACTAAAATATTGGTGGTGTTATTTCTAGGTGGTAAGAACATGAAAAAAATTTTTTTAAAGTTTATTTATTTATTCATGAGAGAGAGAGATTGGCAGAGACACAGGCAGAGGGAGAAGCGGGCCCCATGCAGGGAGCCTGATGTGGGACTCCATCCTGGGTCTCGAGGATCATGCCCTGTGCTGAAGGCGGCGCTAAACCGCTGAGCCACCTGGGCTGCCCAACAATTTTTATTTTTGCCTCAATTCTGAAGTCTCTTCATTTTGTAAAATAAACAGGTTTTACTTTCAGGTAGAAAAGCTGTTTTTATTTCTTGTTAACTAGTCACAGGCAAGATTGTTTATTGATGAAAGAATGTGATTTCAAATCATACATTTAGTTTTTAGTTTTTTGTTTTTTGTTTTTTTTAACCTTAATGATGTAAAGGTGATTTTACTGGCTTAATGGAAATGAAGTAGTAACCTAGGAATCCCATCCTTTTCATATATATTCTCATCTGACTTTCATAACACTGAGAAAAATAGGGCTAGTATTACCTCTGTTTTACAGATGAGGAAACTTAAGGTACAATGGCTCAATTATTTACCTAAAGTCATGTTGGCAGTGGAAGAACTAAGACTAGAATCCAGTTATTTTCATTCTATTATGATCTTTTCTCATTTCCCTCCAGTATCTTACAATTACTATTTTTCTTTTACCATTCACAATTCTGTATGATTACATTTTATTTTATGTACTTATCGGTTTTTTTTTTTAAGATTTTATTTATTTATGAGAGACACACAGAGAAGCAGAGACACAGGCAATGGGAGAAGCAGGCTCCATGCAGGAAGCCCGATGTGGGATTTGATCCCAGGACTCAGGGATCATGCCCTGAGCCAAAGGCAGATGCTCAACCGCTGAGCCACCCAGGCATCCCTTGGTATTTATATGGTTACACAGTTTGACCCCTGAACTTTTATATAGCATAAATATCCATAAAATTACATTTTCATATTTTATGTTATTATAATTTCACAGAAGTTTTTCTCTGAAAAGATCCTCAAAGGCTAAGGAATTTTCAAAAAAGACTGCATCCTTTGTTATTGGGTAGCTTAACTGTCTTACAGTGTCAAATAAATAATAGCTGAGAGTTTTGAGTATGAGTACTTACTATCATATCAGAGATATTAATATATGCACAATATGATGAATTCTGTTTTATTGAGTATTAAGAGCTTTGAATTTTTAAGCACTGGCAGGGGTTTTACTTCATTTATTTAGACCACTTTGTAATAGTAACTCGGGCTGAAAAGTTGTAATTTTTTTTTAACATTTTATTTTTTAAAAAAATATTTGAGAGAGCACAAGCAGGGTTGGGGGGAGAGGGAGAGGCAGAGGCAGAGCTGATTGGGGAGCCCATTGCTGGACTTGATCCCAGGACCCTGGGACCATGAACTGAGCTGAAGGCACTTAACCGAGTGAGCCACCGAGGCACCCATTTTATATATTATTAGAGAAAGGAGAGAGAGCACAGGTATTGGGGGTGGGGTGCAGGGAGCAAAGGAAGAGAGAATCCTTAGCCAACAATGCACTGAGGAGTCTGACATGGGGCTCAGTCTCAAGAGTCTGAGATTATGACCTGAGTGAACCAAAACCAAGAGTTGAATGCTTAACCAGCTGCACCACCTAGGTGCCCTAAAAGTTTTAATTCTTAATTTAAGTCCTTAAAGGAAAGATGTTGCGATCTATGGAAGTATGAAATTGTCTTTTTTTTTAAGACTGATTTATTAATTTTTTTATTTTTATTTATTTATGATAGTCACACACACAGAGAGAGAGAGAGGCAGAGACACAGGCAGAGGGAGAAGCAGGCTCCATGCACCGGAAGCCCGACGTGGGATTCGATCCCGGATCCCAGCGCTAAACCGCTAAGCTACCCGGGCTGCCCTCAGACCTTAGTTTTAGAAATCAGATCAGTGTCCTGCTTTTATGAAAATACAAATACAGGCAGCCCCGGTGGTGCAGCGATTTAGCGCTGCCTGCAGCCCCGGGTGTGATCCTGGAGACCTGGGATCGAGTCCCACGTCGGGCTCCCTGCCTGGAGCCTGCTTCTCCCTCTGCCTGTGTCTCTGTCTCTCTCTCTCTCTCTCTCTCTGAATAAATAAATAAATCTTAAAAAAAAAAAAAGAAAATACAAATACAAATACAAACCTGTAATAAAGCAAAATGAGATTTACAAAATGATATGGAGCTAGGTCTATTTTTCTGTCCTCTTTGTTTTCAGACATTTTATAATTGTGAATTTCTAGTGGGTAAAGATTGATGACGTTATTTGCTTTTAAAGGTTAAAGATTTCTTCGGTCACTGTGACTATTCCCTCTCATTCCCCCAAAGTCTTTGATATTGAGTTGTTTTTTTGTTTGTTTTTAAGATTTATTCTTTTTTTAGAGAGAGAAAGAAGAGCACGAATGAGTAGGGCAAACGGAGAGGGAAAGAGATCTGGAACAGGCTCCATGCTGAGCACAGAGCCCCACATGAGGCTCAATTTCACAACTCTAAGATCACAACCTGAACCAAAACCAGGAGTTGAACTCTCAACCGACTGTGCCACTCAGGCATTCCTGAAATTGAGATTTTTAGCAAGAATATCCACTTTTGCAGGGGAGAAAGTCAAATAAAGAAAATCCATTTTTGTATATAAATCAAAGTTGTTGAGAAAGATTTTATGAAAGAAATAATTCATTCAGCAGGTAACAGAGTTTTATGTGATCTTTTCCACATTTACAAAGTTTAATTATAATTAGCTTTGGTTAAACTGTGTTCTCTTGGTGTACTGTGAGCACTGATAGACTCAGCAGTTATTTATTGAAATATTTTACTTTTTTTGAGATTTATTTATTAGAGAGCACGCACACATATGTGTGCAGTTGGGGGAAGAAGTAGAGGGAGAGAGAGAATCCCAAGAAGACTCCCTGCTGAGCCCAGGGCCCCATGCAGGCTTAATCTCAGGACCTTGAGATCACAATCTGAGCAGAAATCAAGACCTGAGCCGAAATCAAGAGTCAGTCACTTTTTAAAAAATATTTTTTTAATTTATTCATGAGAGACAGAGAGAGAGAGAGAGGCAAAGACACAGGCAGAACGAGAAGCAGTCTCCATGCAGGGAGCCTGATGCAGGACTTGATCCCAGGACTCCAGGATCATACCAACCACTGAGCCACCCAGGCATCCCCAAGAGTCAGTCGCTTAATGGACTGAGCCACCAGGTGCCCTGGATTTTCCTTTTATTCACCATTCTATGTTTTATGTACAAAGTTTGATGGTTCTTGGTTATTTCAAAACTATCGATTTAAGACTTGCCCTAGCACAGATGAACTAAACTTATCATGTAAGTGTGAGAATAGTAGTTCTCCCAGATTAGGCTGTTGCATGGTTTTTTACTTCACCTTTCACTTTGGTAATAATATTATGTTCCTGTAAGTCTAGAAAATTTAGGAGTTAAAGTGACAAAGATGGAAAGCATCTCCTATGGTTTTTTTCTTAGCATTTTGTTATTAAGAACATTTTTTAAAGATGTATTTATTCATGAGAGGCACAGAGGGAGAGGCAAAGACATAGGCAGAGAGAGGAGCAGGCTCCCCGCAGCCTGAGCCAAAGGCAGACACTCAACCACTGAGCCACCCAGGTGCTCCTATTACTACAATTTTTTAACTTACTGTAATGCTGAAAGAATTTTACAATGAAAACTCATATACCCACCATCTAGATTCTGCCATTAACATTTTAATATATTTGACTTACCACCTGTCTATTCATCTCTCTATCCAGCAATCAGTCCATCTTGGATTTTTTTTTATACTTTTCAAAGAAAGTTGTAGATGTCAGTACATTTCCCCCTAAATATTTTAGCATGTGTTAAGTAGGGTTCAATATTGGTTTACAATCTGACCCACCCTCCTGCTGTGGTATTTTTATTTTCTAATTCTCATTAATCTTGTTTTTTCCTGAAGATTAGTAGAAGTTACAGGAAGAGAGATCATAGAAAAAAGAAGGGAAGAAATTCTCAAAGACATAATAGCAAAAAATTTGCCAGAGCAAAAGGGAAGAAGTCTCACATAGTAAGAACTCATGAAGTATCAAAGACCCACATCCAGACGCATGAGTGTGAAATTTTAGTATACCAATCATAAAAAGAAGATTCTGAAAGCATTCAGAGGGAAAAAAGCAATTTTCTAAAGGAACAAAAATCAGACCACATTTCTTTCTTTCTTTCTTTCTTTCTTTCTTTCTTTCTTTCTTTCTTTCTTTCTTTCTTTCTTTCTTTCTTTCTTTCGATTTTATTTTTTTCAATAATCTCTATACTCAATGTGGGGCTTGAACTCACAACCCTGAAATCAAGAGTTGCATGCTTCACCAACAGCCATCCAGGTGCCCAGAAAAACCACATTTCTTTCTTTCTTTCTTTCTTTTTTTTTTTTTTAAGATTTTTATTTATTTGTTCATGAGAGACAGAGAGAGGGCGGTGGGCAGAGACACAAGCAGAGGGAGAAGCAGGCTCCATGCAGGGAGCCCAACATGGGACCGGATCCCAGGTCTCCAGGATCAGGCCCTGGACTGAAGGTGGCGCTAAACCGCTGAGCCACTAGGGCTGCCCAAGACCGCATTTCTTACTGGTTGAGCAGCCCAGGAGGCTCAGCGGTTTAGCGCTGCCTTCAGCCCAGGGCCTGATCTTGGAGACCCTGGATCAAGTCCGACGTCAGGCTCCCTTCCCTGCATGGAGCCTGCTTCTCCCTCTGCCTGTGTCTCTGCCTCTCTCTCTCTCTCTCTCTCTCTCTCTCTCTCATAAATAAATAAAATCTTAAGAAAAAAAAAGAAATCTGACTGGTAGAAGCTAGTAGAGGGATGCCTTCAAACTTCTTTGAGAAAATAATTTTATTTTTTTTAAGATTTTATTTATTTGAGAGAGTGCTAACAAGTAGATGGAGGTGCAGAGGGACCCGCCCAACCTGGGACCCTGATACCAATATCAGGACCCTGAGATGATGATCCAAGCTGAAGTCACAGGCTGACTGAGCCAGCCACCCAAGCACCCCTGAGGGAAAATAATTTTAAACCTGGAATTTTTTTTTAATATTTTATTTATTAGAGAGCACGAGCAGGAGAAGGGGCAGAGAGGGAGAAGCAGACTCTTCCTAATCAGGGACCCCAACTTGAGGCTAGATTCCAGGACCCTGAGACCATGACCTGAACTTAAGGCAGATGCTTAACCAACTGAGCCACCCAAGTGCCCCTAAGTCTAGAATTCTATTTGCAGCAATTTTATTTTTTTAGGGGCAGCCCCGGTGGCGCAGTGGTTTGGCACCGCCTGCAGCCTGGGGTGTGATCCTGGAGACCAGGGGTCGAGTCCCGCGTCGGGCTCCCTGCATGGAGCCTGCTTCTCCCTCTGCCTGTGACTCTGCCCCTCTCTCTCTCTCTCTCTCTCTCTCTCTCTCTCTCAATAAATAAATAAAATCTTTAAAAAAATTATTTTTTAATTAAAATTTTTTAAATTATTTTTTGCAACAATTTTATTAAGTACTCAGGCAGAAGAATTATTTTGGGAAGTAATTTAGTACATTTTTCTCTTATTCACTTTCTTAGGAAGTTACTTGAGGACATACTTTAACAAAATGAAGTGGAAAACAAAGAACTATGTTAAATTCCAACTCAAGTACTCAGCGAATGAGGATCAGGGATAGTAGTTAGCTTAGAGAGCAGACAGCCCAATTTGGAGAGGAGAAGGAACTTCAGGTGGAAGGGTTTCAGGAGAATACATGGTAAGGTTGAGAGGTTGGTAAATTTGAGAAATGATAGAAAACACTAGAGAAAGACTCAGATTTAAAAGCAAGGTAAAACCATGATTTTGAAATGGGTAGCATATAAAGAAATCATTTGAATTTAACAGCAGAAATCTATGAAGGACATTGAGTTGTTAACGGAACTTAAGTGAAAGAATTGTACCTCTAGCACACTGGTTCTACAATGAATTAATTTTATAAAGCTGTAATATAAACACTATAATGAGTTTTCAAGTAAAATACTATTAGAGAAGTTTAGAGAATAATTTAAACCTACTACTCAACTATTCTTGATTTTTCTTTTTCTTTCTTTCTTTTTTTTTTTTTTTAAGATTTTATTTATTTGGGATCCCTGGGTGGCTCGGCGGTTTGGTGCCTGCCTTTGGCCCAGGGCACGATCCTGGAGTCCTGGGATCGAGTCCCGCATCAGGCTCCCGGCATGGAGCCTGCTTCTCCCTCTGCCTGTGTCTCTGCTTCTCTCTCTCTGTGTCTGTCGTGAATGAATAAATAAAATCTTTAAAAAAAAAAGATTTTATTTATTTAAGAGAGCATGTGTGGGGTGAGGAGCAGAAGGAAAAGCAGACTCCTTGCTCTACTAAGCAGAGAGCCCAATGTGGAGCTTAATCCCAGGACTCTGAAGATCAGGACCTCAGCCAAAGGCAAATGCTTAACCGACTGAGCCATCCAGGTACCCCTGATTTTCTTTTTTCTTTGTGGGAAGTTTTTATTTTTTTTTATTTATTTTTTTTTAATTTTTTTTATTTATTTATGATAGTCACAGAGAGAGAAAGAGAGAGAGGCAGAGACAAAGGCAGAGGGAGAAGCAGGCTCCATGCACCGGGAGCCCAATGTGGGATTCGATCCCGGGTCTCCAGGATCACGCCCTGGGCCAAAGGCAGGTGCCAAACCGCTGCACCACCCAGGGATCCCTGTGGGAAGTTTTTAAATGACAAATTTAATCACTACTTGATATGAGTGTATTCAGATTTTTCTCTTTTTTTTTATTGTAGTCAGACTAAGTTTATTTTACCAAATTTAGATTCAACTAATCATCTGTGTCTTGACTTGGATGATTTTTGTGAGTTTTGGATTATTGAGTGAATTTTAATGGTTTGTGTCTTTCTAGAAATTTGCCTATTTCATTGAAGTTATCTAAGTGTTGACATAGAGTTCTGTTTTTGTAAGGTCGATAATAATGTCCTCTCTTTAATTCTTGATTTGTGATTTGAGTCTTTTCCCCCCTTGATCCTGCTAAAGGTTTATCAATTTTCCTGATCTTTTCAAAGAACCAACTCATGGTTTCATTGATTTTTCTCTATTTTATTTCTAGTCTCTATTTTATTAGTTCCTCTCTAATCTTATTTTCTTCCTTCTGCTTGCTTTGTTTAGTGTGCTTTTTCTAGTATTTTTTTTTAAAGATTGATTTATTTAGAGAGCATGCACATGAGCACAAGCAGGAGGGGCAGAGGAAGAGGGAGAGAGAATCTCAAGCAGACTCCATGCTGAGCACGAGCCCAATGCAGGGCTCAATCTCAACCCTGAGTTGAAATGAAGAGTCAGATTCTTAACCAGCTACACCACCCAGTTGCCCCTGAGTGCATTTATTTTTAAATTTTGGGATTAATCAATTGACTGATTATTGAAGACTTATCAATGACCGCAGATGAGATTTAATGTTTTCAGCCTTGATAGCATAAAAGAAAAGATATAGCTTACAGAAATAGGGAAGTAGATATGGAGGGAGATCGAAGGACAGAGGTTCTCAGTTAACAAAGTAGAAAGTTAAGAGATACAGTCTGTGGTTGTTGGAATAGGAAAGGAAGATTTACATATTTTGTTAGACTTCGCACTGTATTGTCAAATTTGTCATAAGTCAGGCAAGGTACCTATGTGTGGGTGTCTAATAGTTTTTTTGGATTTTTTGTTTTGTTCTTTACTATGTGGATGTATTACTTGAACTAGCAATTAAAAAATTAGTCTTAATGGAGTCTTTAAATTAGTTTTTCCTTTAGTTGCCAGAGAGAGAAAATAATCCTAGAACTATTAGTATTTTGATGACTTTTTAAAGAGAAATCACTCTGGAAATTTTATTAAATGTTATATGTTCCTGTAGTATGTCTGATTTTTATTTTACTGATAATCATATTTTGTGGATTTGACATTTTTTCTTTTTCCCAGACTGAGGCAGCTAAGTTAGTTCCAATGGGTTTCACTACTGCAACTGAGTTCCACCAAAGGCGATCAGAGATCATACAAATTACTACTGGTTCCAAAGAACTTGACAAGCTACTTCAAGGTATAATAATCCTTACCCTCTGCTATAAACTGCAGTTGACAAAGCATTCGGGTCACAGAACAAAACTAAAGTATTTGGGTAGAATTTATGTGTTAGTTATGAATAAGAGATAAGAGAAGTATGCAAATTACTTAATATCTCTATGTCTCAGTTTTATTATCTTCACAATAAGAATAAAGAGGCTTCCTACCTTTTTTTTTTGCTTCCTACCTTATAAGTGATTAGAATTAAATGAAATCCTATGTATGTATAGCACAGTGCCAGGTACAGAGGAAACATTTAGTAAATGTTAGATGATATCTTTCAAGATTTTATTTCTTTATTCATGAGAGACACAGAAAGAGAGGCAGAGACATAAGCAGAGGGAGAAGCAGGCTCCCTGGCAAGGAGCCTGATGCAGGACTCGATCCCAGATCCCAGGGTCACGCCCTGGGCCAAAGGCACTCAACTGCTGAGCCACCCAGGCGTCCCACATCTATAGTTTTTTAATTACTGCTTATTGACTTGTGATGGTATAGTTCTGTATCTTGACTGTGGTGGTAGTTACCTGAAGCTACAGATATGGTAAAATTGCCCAGAATTCTACACATATATACAAATGAGATGAGTGTATCTGTAACTAGAGAAATCTGAACAAACTCTGTGGGCTACAGTTTTCTGATATTGATACTGTACTGTGGTTATGTAAAATGTTAACACTGGGGGAGGCTGAATGAAGATTTCGTGGGACCTGTACATTTCTTTGCAATTTTATGTAAATCTAGAATTATATCAAAATTTAAAAAGTATTTTAAAAGTTATTGCCTATTGAAAATTGGATTTCCAAATTATGTGTCACATCTTTCTGATGAGCTCCAAGGACATTGCTGATTATTGTTTCTAAACATTTGTATTGTGCTAAGAGGTGTTTCTTACTGCTCTTTTAGGAGGAATTGAGACTGGATCCATCACAGAGATGTTTGGAGAATTCCGAACTGGGAAGACTCAAATCTGTCATACACTGGCTGTTACATGCCAGGTGAGCTTTTGGGGTCTAACCAAATCAAAAATGAGTTGATTCCTACTATTTGCGAGTATCTCTTGGGATGGACATTAAGGGCACTTTATCCCTAAGACTCCTAGACACCTACTGCAGAATTCTTCCACGTCCTAGAAACTTTCACATCATTGATTTCAGAAACTTTATCATCCACTAGGCCTCCCCTATCTTCACCTGCCCTCTTCACTAGTCTAGATTTTATGATTCATCATTGAAGGCATTCCTTAAATTTACATTCCCCACCTAAAGAGATGTCAGTCTTAGATGAACCTTTCTCAGTCTTCTCTGAGAACTGTCTTTTTAGGGCCTGTTTCTTAATGAAACTGATCATACTGGAGAAAAGTCATACCATAAAGCTGATTGTCTTCACTTTACATTCAAGTTGACTGACCTTAAATTAACATTCAGTACTGCTTGGTAGACCTACTGAATTTATGTAGGCATTCTTTTTCCCATTCAATAAGATAGTTCTTATGCTTTGTCCTTTCTTTCCATTTTTTTTTTAAGATTTTGTTTATTTATTCATGAGGGACACAGAGGGAGGCAGAGATAAAGGCAGAGGGAAAAGCAGGCTTCCTGAGGGCAACCCGATGCGGGACTTGAACTCAGGACCCTGGGGTCATGACCTGAACCAAAGGCAGACACTCAACCACTGAGCAACCCAGACACCCCATGTCCTTTCTTTTCAAATCTTCATGCTTTTCTTCAGCCCTCACTCAGCCAATGACCAACCTATTCTTTACATCAAATTTACAAATCCACCTGCATTTATAACCATCTTTTCTTATCTTGGGCTACAGTGAGAAAAGTGTCTCTTTCCTTTTCAAAGCCCCATCTTATAGTGTGGCGGTTACTGGTTACTTATAGTGTGATGGTATATCTGGTTACTATTTCCTGCCACCTTTTCAGGAGCTCTACTTCTCTGTTTTCTTCTCTACCTCTGTAATAAGTATCTCCTACAAAACTTGTTTTACTTATGCTGTCATTCATTGTAGGATTTGGAAACAGCCCCAGTGAATTAATGCCTAAAATCATGTTTTATTGAAATAATAGATACAGGGCGTGCCTGGGTGGCTCAGTTGGTTAAGGGTCCGGCTCCTGATTTTAGCTCAGGTCATGGTCTCAGGGTCATGAGATTAAACCCCATGTCTGGCTCTGTGCTGGGCGTGGGGCCTGCTTGAGATTTTCTCTCTCCCCCTGCCCCCCCTCCCAAAAAAAGAAGAGAGAGGATGCTAATTCATTAATAACAAAGGATTACATTTCAGCAGTCTAAGAGCTGGAGCTAGAGGTATAGAGAGGATGTTAGACTTACTGCTTAAATCGAAACATTATCTGTAAAACTCTGTCTAATAATGAAGTTATATAAAGTTGAGAGCCAAGATTACAAAAATGAACAGACCATGTTCCTTTAAAGTACTAGAGTAATGTTAAAATTCAGAGAAGACAATTTATTGTAAATTCCAATTTTAAATGCATATGCCCTTTAACAGAAAATGTGGCTTACACAAATATTTGCACGTAGTCAATAATAAATATATAAAGAATTTACATCACGGCATTATAAAATGGTGAAAGTTCAAAACAACCTGCATCACTGTAAAATAGGAAGAAGAGTTAAATTATGGTACTAAATAGTTATTAAAAATAGCTAACTTGGTGGCAGTGCCCCAGTCCAGTAACACAATGACTGCAATGGAACTGGAGGGCAAGATGGAGGGAACAGAATGGGCTGGAGTGCAGAGTATGCAGTCCATCCCCTTCAAATAATACACTGGGACCTTGTCTACTTTTCTATCAGTCTTCATACTGATACCTGGCCACTTATGGTCTCCTTTCTGCCCAGAGAGGTCTATGGAGCTGGAAAAGAATGCCCTTTCATGTTAGTACTAGAGATAACAGAAAGTGAGAAAAATGGGGATCTTCATTCATCTTAATTCCTTAATGTCTTAACCCCTTGAGTGTCAAGATTTTCTCCTCCCCAAAAAACTAAGCATTTGCTATCCTCTTGGCCAGTGATTCCAAACCTTTCCTCTGTCAAGACCCTCTTTTGTAGTATACGTATCCTTTTTTCCTTCCATGGATTCTTAGGATTTGAAAGATTTATCTGCCAACTGATGAAATGATAACATAATCATTTTTCCCTTTCCAGATTAACAAATCCTCTAACTGAGCGCTAAGGTCAGTGCCTTAGAGGTGGATAATATCATCAGTTTTTAAAGTGCTTTCTGTATGTCAGGCACTGTGCTAATAAACGCATTATGTGAATTTAATCTTCAGAATTATCCCATAAGGGATCCTTTTATAGAAAAAAAGATTAATATTCTCAAGGTCATATAGTAATGGCACAATCACATATGAAGAGTGTTTGTATGAAAATATGTAGATAATGATCTGGAAGATTACTTCTGGAAGAGGGGAACGATAAGAGCTTTTTTAAAAAAAGATTTTATTTGTTTGTTTATTTATTTATTAAGAGAGAGCATGAGGATGGAGGAGAGGCTAAACTGGGAGCCTGAGGTAGGGCTCGATCCCAGGACCCTGGAATCATGACCTGAGCTGAAGGCAGATATTTAACACTGACTGAGCAACCCAGGCATCCCTGAAGAAGAGCTTTCGATTTGTACTTATTTCTGTATTGTGTGAATTTTTTTAAAGATTTTATTAATTTGTTTATGAGAGACACAGAGGCAGAGACACAGAGGGAGAAGCAGGCTCCTCTCAGGGAGCCCGATGTGGGATTGATCCCAGGAACCCAGGATCACACCCTGAGCCAAAGCAGATTCCCAAGCGCTGACCCACCCAGGCGTCCCTTGTGTGAATTATAATACAAGCATATAGTACTTGCATAATTTTGAAAATTTTTTTCTCAGAAATGTAAGAGAAAATTTGATGCTTCTAGACCCTTAATGTAAAATGTCCTAAAGGATTTTCCTAAGAGTTTAAAAGTGAATTATGGCTCCAGAGTAGATTGCTAGGATGGAAACTACCCTTTAGCATCATTCATTTAAAATTTTGTAGGACTCCAAGGTGTGTGGCATGAGATGGTTAAGCCTAAAACCAAGATTTCCTTAAGCTTGTAAGATAGTTTTGATAGCATTCCTCTTTCCTTTCCTTTTTTTTTTTAAACTCTATTTTCCTTTTCCTCCTTTTATTTTTAACATCTGTAGCTACTGTTGGAGTAAACACCTTTTTTCTTCTTTCTTAGTCATACTTTAAACTTAATAAGAATGCCCCTGGGGCGTTGCCAAGCCCCTTTAGGAACTTGCAGAAGTGAGCTCTGCTTAATAAGTATGTGGTCTGGATGTGACAAAATCAATTGGATATTGGATCAGGGTCTCTAACTTATTAAAGCTAAGGTAGTAAATGATATTTCAAAGGTCTGTACTCGAGAGAATTCTTCAATCTTGTGTTGGTATTCAATCATAGAATTTTATCACCTATTTGGGGCTATAGTTTTTTTTATGATTTTATTTATTTATTTGAGAGACAGCACTAGTGGGGTAGGGGGGCAGGAGGAGAAAGAGAAGCAGACTCCCTGCTGTGCAGGGAGCCTGATACAGGGCTCAGTCCCAGGACCCTGGGATCATGACCTGAACCAAAGTAGATGCTTAACCAATTAAGCCACCTAGGCACCCCTTGGACTGTATTTCTAAGCAATCCAACTCCGTCATGACTGTGGCTTCTCATGCTTTGGAATCTTTTCATATCTCCCAGCTCTATTTCTGTCAGAAGGGAATGCCTCTTCTCAGCTTCTGATTGACTCTTGAAAGTGTTTTTTCCCTTTGCCTTATTGGGATGGGTAGGGAAGTTGGTTAGTTATATCACAAGTACAGTGTTCATTTCCACACCGTTCTTTTTGTTCTGTCTAGCTTCCCATTGACCGAGGTGGAGGAGAAGGAAAGGCCATGTACATTGACACTGAAGGTACCTTTAGGCCAGAACGGCTGCTAGCAGTGGCTGAGAGGTACGTTGCTGAATTAGATGAGAGAAATCTGGCTACACCTGTCACTGTAGTGATTACCAGGTTTAGTATGTCTGAAGAGTGTTTCTTCCCCTTAATGCTCTGTATCCTGAAGTAATATGTTCAGAAGTATGACCTTCCGTAGTAGAGGGAAGCACTCTTCAAAATCTATGGGTTATCATCAGACTGGATAAAAAACTACATCCAACTATATGTTTTCTTCTAGAGAAACTTTAGATTCAGAGACACAAATAGGTTGAAAAAGAATGGGAAAAGATATTGCATCTAAACAGTAACCATAACAGAACTGGAATGACTATACTAATAGTACAGACTTTAAGACAAAAAACTATATTACTAAAAAATATATATATATATTACTAGAGACAAAGAGGAGCATTTTATAACAAAAAATTCATTGGGAAAATAGAACAGTTATAAACATATTCCTATGTAATAACAGGCCCCAAAATATGTAAAACAGAAACTGACATAATTGAAAGGCAAAAGGAACAATTTAACCATAGTTGTTGAGGACCATGTCTTACTTCAAAAAAACATATAGCTATCATACTTAATGGTGGAAGTCTGAATGCTTTCTCCTTAAGATTAGAAACAAGACAAGAATGTCCATTCTCACCACTTACTTTCCACTGAAGGTGAAGTATACTGAATGTACTAGAGGTCCTAGTCAGTGCTGACAGGTGAGAAAATGAAATAAAAGGCATCTAAATTGGATGGAAGATATTGACCTCTTTTTTTTTTTTTAAAGATTTTATTTATTTATTCATGAGAGAAACAGAGAGAGAGAGAGAGGCAGAGACACAGACAGAGAGAGAAGCAGGCTCCATGCAGGGAGCCTGATGTGGGACTCGATCCCGGGTCTCCAGGATCAGGCCCTGGGCTGAAGGCGGTGCTAAACCACTGGGCCACTGCGGCTGCCCTAGAACTCTCTATTCACTGATGAAATAATCCTGTGTGTAGAAAATCCTAAGCAATCTACATAAACACAAAACTACTAGAACTACATTAGTTCAGCAAGGTTGTAGGATACATTGTCACTGCAAAAATCCATTGTGTTTCAATATATAAGAAAGGAACACCTCAAAAATTAAGAAAACAATTCCATCATTCACAGTAGCACTGAATTCCGTTCACTGTCAAATCAAAAATCAAAATAGGAAAATACAAAGACTACAAAACGTTGCTGAAAGAAATTGAAGATCTACATAGAAAAATAATCCATATTCATGGATTGAAAGAAACAATATTTTTAAGTTATAATTTTCCCTCAAACTGATCTAGAAAGTCATACAATCCCTACTGTAATTTCAGGAAGCATTTTGGCAGAAATCAACAAGCTGATGATAAAATTTATATGGAAATGTCTAGGACCCAGAATAGTCAAAACATTCTGGGGTAGCAGGGGAGAACAACATTGAAGGCCTTGGTCTTAATTTTAAAACTTAGTTTTAAAGGAACAATAATTAAGATAGTATGGTGCTGGAATGGGACAGGCAATTGGATCAGTGGATCAGAACTGAGAATTCAGAAGTGAGCTCTTTTTTTTTTTTTAAGATTTTATTTGTTTATTCATCGAGACACACACAGTGAGGCAGAGACACAGGCAGAGGGAGAAGTAGGCACCATGCAGAGAGCCTGATGGACTCAATCCCGGGTCTCCCAGGATCACGCCCTGGCTGCAGGTGGCGCTAAACCACTGGCCCAGAAGTGACCTCTTTCATTTATAATCATTTGATTTGGGGCAGCCTGGGTGGCTCTCTCTCTCTGTCTCTCATGAATAAATAAATAAAATCTTTAATATATATATATATAATCATTTGATTTTTGACAAAGATGCCAAGTAAATTTAATTGTTCCTCAGTAGTTGTCTTTTCAATAAATGATGCTAATGTAGTTGGATATCAACATGCAAAGATAAATTTAGACCCTTACATAAAATTGACAAAAATGGATATAGTCTAGTGACTACTCAAAAAATTAAATGTAGAATTATAGTATAATTAAGCAATTCTGCTTTTGAGTATATAAAGGATTGAAACAAGGACTCAGATACTTGTACACCAGTGTTCATAGCAGCACTAGTCACAATAGTCAAAGGTGGAAACACCCCGATTATTCATCACTAGATGAATGGTAAGCAAAATGTCATATAAACATAAAATGGAATACTACTCAATCTTAAAAAGGAAGGAAATTCTCCCACATGCTACATGGATGAATCTTACAAACGTGCTAAGTGAAATAAGCCAGTTACAAAAGGACAAAGATTGTAATGATTCCTCTTCTATGAGTTATGTGAAATAGTCAAATTTGTAAAGGCAGAAAATAGAACAGTGGTCCTCAGAGGCAGGGAGATAGGAGAATTGGGAGTTACTATTTGAAAGATACAGAGTTTCAGTTTGGGATGATAAAAAGTTGAGATGGACGGTGGTGATGGTTGCACAGCATAGGTATGTACTTATTGCCACTGGACTATATATTTTTAAAAAGGTTAAAATGGTCAATTGTATGTCATGTACGTTTATTATTTTAAGAATGATAGCCCTAAATGTAAGAACTAAAACATCAAACTTTCAGGCAAAAAGACAGGAGAAAATATTTGTGAGCTTGAGGCAGACAGAGATTTCTTAGATGCAACACCAAAAAGCATTCCATGAAAGAAAACATTGATAAAAAGTCCTGTGCTTCAAAGAACATTATTAAGAAAGTGAAAAGACAACCCAAAGGATGTGAGAAAATATTTGCAAATCATATTTCTGAAGGGTCTAGTATCCAGAGTATACAAAGACCTCTAAAAACCCAATAAAAAGACAACCTAATTAAAAAATGAGCAAAGGATTTGTACAGCTATTTATCTAAAGAAGATAAATGGCCAAGAAGCGCATGAAAAGGTGCTCAACATCATTAGTCAAGGGGAAAAAAAACACAGTGAGAAGGAAAAAAAAAAACCCACAGAGAGCTACCACTACTCAGGTGGCTATAATAAAATAGGTAGTAACAAACGTGAGGGAGGATGGAGAAACTGGAACCCTAATACATTGCTGGTAAGAATGTAAAGTGCTATAGCCATTTTGGAAAACAATGTGGCAGTTAAATATAAAATTACCATATGACCCAGCAGTTTCACTCTGGTTATTATATACCCAAGAGATATGAAAACATATCCACAGGGATGCCTGGGTGGCTTAGCAGTTGAGCATCTGCCTTTGGCCCAGGTCGTGATCCCAGGGTCTGGGATTAGGTCCCACATCAGGCTCCCTGCGAGGAGCCTGCTTCTCCCTCTGCCTGTGTCTCTGCCTCTCTGTGTGTGTCTCATAAATAAATAAATAAAATCTTTAAAAAAAGAAAAAACATGTCCACATAAGAGACTTGTATGTAGATGTTTATAGTATTGTTATAATAGCCCCAAACCGGAAATGACTCCATTGTCCCAACTGATGAATGAATAAACAAAATTTGGTTTATGCATACAGTGGAGTACTATTCAACAATAAATTTTTTTTCAACAATAAAATTGAAGTACCCCTGCATGTTATGCCATAGATGAACCTCAGAAGATATACTAAATGATAGAAGCTAGACATAAGACCTCATATTGTATGATTTCATTTATGTGAAATTTCCAGAAGGGAAAAATCTATAAAGTCTATAGATTAGTGGTTGCCTGGGGAAAGGAGTAGGGATAGAAAGTAACTACAAATCGATTTGAAAGATCTTTTGGGGATGATGGAAATGTTTTAAAATTGGATTGTGATGATGGTTGTACAACTATGCAAATTTTATTGCTAAAAAGTCATTCAGTTGTACACTTAAACCAGTTCAATTTGATGGCGTATAGAATACCTCAGTAAAGCTGGTAAAGAATGCAAAATTTTCTCTGTCCCCTCATACATCTTTCAAATAAACTCTCAAAATTGTTTTACATATTTTTCCTTGTCTAGGGGTCAAATGTGATAATTTAGTTCTGTACCATACATTTTCCTGAATCCTAGTGATTAAATATAATTTAATTGAATATTGAGATGTCAGACTCAAGTTGGAACTTGCCTTGCCAATTGGAGAATTTTCTTTTTTAGTTTTAGAATTATAATGAAACTATCTTTCCCAGTTAAAAATTCGAGGAATAAAAAAAAATTTAAAAAATAATAAAAAATAAATAAAAATTCGAGGAATATAAGCTATCGAATATACACCATTGAGGCAAAAAAATTGGTTGGAACAATAATTGTAGCTCTGCGTCTGCTTACAGAATCTGTCAGGAAGAAAGAATTTCTTTCTTGCAGCCTGATCTTAGGTTTATAATGATGAGTATACTAAACTGTATCTTCTTCCTAAAGTTATTTTTGTTCTTGTACAGAAATCATACTTTTTAATTTTTAAGTACATTGTTGTAGTAGATGAGTTTTTTTTGATAAAATTATTAAAATTTTGCCCACTAACATAATTTGAGTGTTCAGATAGGATAGATGAGATAGTAGAATGTTGATCCTGAAGACAGGGCTTTGTTTTGATCACTCACTGTATCCCTAACCCCTGGAAAAGGTCATTCAGTATTATTATTTTTTTTAAGATTTATTTATTTATCATGATAGAGAGAGGCAGAGACACAGGCAGAGGGAGAAACAGGCTGGGAGCCCGACGTGGGACTCGATCCCGGTACTCCGGAATCACACCCTGGGGAAAGGCAGGCGCCAAACCACTGAGCCACCCAGGGATCCCCTCATTCAGTATTTTTTAAAGATTTTATTTATTTATTCATGAGAGAGGCAGAGACACAGGCAGAGGAAGAAGCAGGCTCCATGCAGGGAGCCTGATGTGGGGCTTGATCCCAGGACTCCAGGATCACGCCCTGAGGCGAACGCAGGTGTCCGCTGAGCCACCCAGGTGTCCCTAGTCCAGCAATGTTTTAACAAGCTCTCCAGGTGATGCACGTGCTTGCTAAAGTTTAAGAACCATGGCCATAATTGATAGGTACAGTGTCACCACTTTTTTTTTTTTTTTTGAGATTTATTTATTTTAGAGAGGAGAAGAGGGAGAGAAAGAATCTCAAGCAGTCTCCCCACTGAGCACGGAGCCTAACATGGGGCTCCATCCCACAACCCATGAGATCATGACCTGAGCCAAAACCAAAAGCCAGATGCTCAACTAATGGAGCCACCCAGGCACCCCAGCGTCACCATCTCTTTTAAATACTAGGAACGAATGCCAGAGCCTCCTTGAGGTAGTACAGCCGGTTTTCAAATTTATATGTTAAGAATCACCTGATGTATTTAACTCTACAAATTACCACACCTCCTCCCCCCAAATCATGATTTAGTAAGTCTAGATTAGGCCCAGGAATTTTTCTTTTTTTTTTTTAAACCAGTGTTACAGGTTATTCTTTTAAGGAAGTTCTGGAAACACTATGCGATGATGACACTTATTTCCAACCAGCTTTTTCCACATTTTGGGAATTGAAAATTCCATGTGCTATTTCAGGAATGTAATCACAGAGGACCCTATGGTGTTTTTTGTGAACACTGCTGACCCAGAAGTCCAGGATAACTCTTTTCCTGGTAAATCACCCATATTCTGATAGCAAAAGATATTCTCCTTTCCTGGTAGATGATACAGTGTGTTTTTTTTTTTAATTTTATTTATTTATTCATGAGAGACAGAGTGGCAGAGACATAGACTGAGGGAAAAGCAGGCTCCCTGTGGGGAACCCAATGCAGGACTCTATCCCCAGACCCCAGGATCATGCCCTGAGATGAAGGCAGATGCTCAACCACTGAGCCACCCAGGCGCGTCCCAGGATCAGTGTTTCTTGAGCAAATCTAGACTTTTGTGGTACGGTACTTAAGCCTCTTGATTTTTTTTTTCTTACAGCCATGATTTAAATATGGAAAATTTCATCTCCTTTTAAGATTTTGTTTATTCATGAGAGACACAGAGAGGCAGAGACATAGGCAGAGGGGGAGGAAGAAGCAGGCTCCCTGTGGGGAGTCTGATGCTACAGGTCTCAATCCCAGGATCTGGGGATCACAACCTGAGCCAAAGGCAGATGCTCAACCACTGAGCCACCCAGGCATCCCAAATTTTATCTCCTTATTCCCAATGTATTTGGTCAGGATTCCAAGATAAAACTCTATCCTTAGTCTATCTCCTTATCTTCATGCCCAGACTTTATAACTTATCATCATCCATCCACTTAATGCCAAAAGTAAACTTCTACTTGTGTTGTCGATGGCAAAGAATAGCAGGTGAATTGTCTAGGAAACTACAAAGTCTGTCCCTAGTATGAAGAATCCATTTTATGATGTGGAAAATAAACTTGGTGAGAGTAGGATCTCTTGATATTGATCACTAACTTATTATAGTGTTCTCTCCAACTCCTAGATAGAATATTCTTTTGTTTTTCTATTCTTTCTGGGAGGAAGAACCAGGAAGACAAATAAAGCTAAATCTCAGAAGAATAGGTTTAATGCAGTGCATGCTTTTCTGAATATCAGAGTCTCCACATAGAATAGACTGCTTCTGTCAAAAACTGATAGAAACATAAACATAAGGGTGCCTGGGTGGCTCAGTGGGTTAATTAAGCATCTGCCTTTGGCTCAGGTCATGATCTCAGGGTCCTGGGATCGAGCTCCATGTTGGGCTCCCTGCTCAGTGGGGGTGTCTGCTTTTCCCTTTCCTATGCCTGCTGCCCCTGCTTGTATTCTTCCCTCTTTCTGTGTGTTAAATAGATAAATAAAATCTTAAAAAAAAGAAATCTAAACAAAGGAAGTTAGGGTTTTCAAAGAATTACAATGCCTTGAATCTTATTTAAATAGATTCTCTTTTAAACTATAACATAAGGGAGTCAGTGTTTTACTTTTGGACTATAATTTAGGTAATACTAATATGAAAATATTACTTGGGTTAAAGTGAAAGTGAGATGATTCTCTGGGTTGTGGATAAAAGCTTTATTCAGAATTTAGGTATTGAAAAATGTGCTTTTCCCTCAAGGAATTTGTAGGCTAGTAAAAGAATAATAAGGTAGCTCCTCACAAATGCCATAAAGAGGCCTAAAGCAAGTTTTCTGAAGTGCAGAAGGAGGAGAATCACATCTATTTGAAAAGTGCAGAGAAGCTTTGTAGACATGCAGGCGTTTAGTTGTGTCTCAATAGATGGATAAAATCAAAATACCTTTGAAGAAATGGGGCCCCATTGGGGTGCCTGGGTGATGCAGTCAGTTGAGTGTCCCACGCTTGGTTTTAGCTCAGGTCATGATCTCAGCATTGTGAGATCAAGCCCAGTGTGGGGCTCTGTACTCAGTGTTGAATCTGCTTGAGATTCTCTCTCCCTCTCCCTTTGCCCCTCCCCTCCCTGCTCTCCCTCTTCCTAAAATAAATGAATCTTTAAGAAAACCCCATTATGGTATATTTAATGAGAATAAAAATTGTCCTCCTCATACCACGTTGAGCATTCATGTCTTAGGTAGCTGTTACAAAGGTGGAAAAAATAGATTATTTTTTTAAAGTAAGAAATACCTTATTTACCTTTTGAGAGAGAGAGAGGGTTATGTAGGGGGTACTGAGGGAGTGGGAGAGAGATTTCCAAGCAGAGGCCATGATCAGCATGGAGCCATATGCAGTTTGATCACACCCCCCTGAAATCATGACCTGAGCCAAAATCAAGAGTTGGTCTCTGAGCTACCCAGGTGCCCCTATTTTGCCCTTTTTTTTTTAATGCAAAGGAAAAAATGATTGAGGTATAATATGAATTAAGGTGTTACTTATTTAACCATACTGGATACATGTCATATAATGTCTTAACTGTAACTAGTTATTAGCAAGAAAGGAGAATAGGAGAAACGAAATCTACTTGTTTCTTTTGAACTTCTAGGTTTTGTCCTTGTTTAAAATATTTTATTTATTCATTTTACTCATGAGACACGGGGTGGAAGAAAACAGTGCAGAGACACAGGCAGAGGGAGAAGCAAGCTCCATGCAGGAAGCCTGATGTGGGACTCGATCCCGGGACTCTGGGACCACACCCTGAGCTAAAGGCAGATGCTCAACCGCTGAGCCACCCAGGCGTCCCTAGTCCTTGTTTAGAAAGTTTTATTCCGGGATCCCTGGGTGGCGCAGCGGTTTGGCGCCTGCCTTTGGCCCAGGGCGCGATCCTGGAGACCCGGGATCGAATCCCACGTCAGGCTCCCGGTGCATGGAGCCTGCTTCTCCCTCTGCCTGTGTCTCTGCCCCCCTCTCTCTCTCTGTATGACTATCGTAAATAAATAAAATTTAAAAAAAAAAAAAAAAAGAAAGTTTTATTCCTAGGGGTGCCTGGGTGGCTCATGCGGTTGAGCGTCTGCCTTTGGTATCTGACTCATGATTTCAGCTCAAGTCATGATCTCAGGGTTGTGAGATCGAGCCTTGAGTCCAGCTCTGTGCTGTGTGTAGAGCCTGCTTAAATTTCTCTCCCTCTACCCTTCCCCACCTCCCTCTTTTTTTTAAGATTTTATTTATTTATTCATGATAGACATTGAGAGAGAGGCAGAGACACAGGCAGAGGGAGAAGCAGGCTCCATGCCAGGAGCCTGCTTCTCCCTCTGCCTGTGTCTCTGGCTTCTCCCTCTGCCTGTGTCTCTGCCTCTCTCTCTCTCTATCATTAAAAAAAAAAAAAGGTAGTTTATATGAATTTAATTGATGATTCATTATTTTTGTTTCAGTTCTGTCTTCTTGTCTTGGATTTTTCCAGGAGAACGTTTGAAACATTGTATTTGGAAATTTGTTTTTGCTCAGGAGTCCTCAAAGACTAAATTTGATTTATCCTGAAGTCCTGCTCAGTAGATCTACTCCAAAGCACTTGCTGCTGATATCTCTCTAGTTTGCCTGGACTTCTAATAGAAAGGGAATTAGTATTCTTTTTTTTTTTTTTTTTAAGATTTTATTTATTTATTCATGAAAGACATAGAGGGAGAAGCAGGCTCCATGTAAGGAACTCGATGTGGGACTCGATCCCAAGACTGGGATCACGTCCTGGGCCAAAGGCAGATGCTCAACTGCTGAGCCACCCAGGTGCCCCGGGAATTAGTATTCTTTAGCCTTAACAATTCTTACCTAATCAAGCAATCTCTTTGCTAGAGAATAATTTCCAGTCTGCCTGAGTTTTCATTACAGTCTAAAAATGTTCTGTATTTTCTTCTAGATATGGCCTCTCTGGCAGTGATGTCCTGGATAATGTAGCATATGCTCGAGGGTTCAACACAGACCACCAGACCCAGCTCCTTTATCAAGCATCAGCCATGATGGTAGAATCTAGGTATGTGCTCAGTAGAAGACACTGAATATGGCCTAGAGCCCTTAACCGTAAGTCTTATGTAGACTATTTGGCCAAATTGATAACTTGAATTAGACATGGGAAGATTAAGGGGGTGCCTGGGTGGCTCAGTTGGTTAAGTGCCTGCCTTCAGCTCAGGTCATGCTCCTGGAGTCCTGGGATTGAGCTATGGATCCAGCTCCCTACTCAGCAGGGAGTCTACTTTTCCCTCTCCCACTCCCCCTGCTTGTGCTCTGTCAAATAAATTTACAGAAAAAAAAGAGAAAGAAAGAAAAGAAAGAAAGGAAGGAAGGAAGAAAAAGAAATGGGAAGATTTAAGTTTTGGTCCTTCTTAGTCTGACACTGTTGTGTTGGGGTTCGGGTCAAGTCACTACTAAGAAATGAAGCCGTAATTCTCTTGAACTTGTTGAAAATTTTGTTATATAGTGCCTCAGACATGAATGCTGTACAAATATTTTAATAAAATATTTATGTATGAGTGTAACTACAAATATGAAAGTTTAAGGTACTGAGAAAGGGAGCACAATCTGACACAGGCTCGAAATAGGCTTCATAGAGTCCTTGTTTCCTATAGGTATGCACTGCTAATTGTAGACAGTGCCACTGCCCTCTACAGAACAGACTATTCAGGTCGAGGGGAGCTTTCTGCCAGGCAGATGCACTTGGCCAGGTTTCTGCGGATGCTTCTGCGACTTGCTGATGAGGTAAGTTGGGGGATGGGGACAGAGAATGCCCAATTTTCAGGGGCCTTGCTGGGAGGCCAGAACGTCAGAGCCTAGTGTCATAAAGATAACAGATATGAAGAGATATATTAATCATTCATTACTTTGTGGGGAAAGGGGTGGCAGCAATAAGATCCTTTGGCCACAAAAAAATGACATTTGTCCTTTCTCTGTCAGTTTGGTGTAGCAGTGGTAATCACCAACCAGGTGGTAGCCCAAGTGGATGGAGCAGCCATGTTTGCTGCAGATCCTAAAAAACCTATTGGAGGAAATATCATTGCTCATGCCTCAACAACCAGGTAAAGTGATGGAATAGGCAACTTTGTCTTGGAATGTCATATTAACGAAAGTAGACATGAAGATACAGCATTTCCTTTTAAAACCAGTTAAAGCTACGTTTGTATAATTAGACCCAGGAGTCCCTGGCTAGACAGAACTGTCATGCTCTGGTTAGTGCGTATGTTTGCTTTTAGTTTATAAAGGAATTAAAAGCCCTCAAATATGCAAGAATGAATATGAAGGATATCCCTCTCCCTTATTAAGAAAGTAATTGTTTCAATATGGAAAATCCACTAAGGGGCGGGGGGGGGGGGGGAGGAGGGCAGAGTAGGCGTGGATTCCTCCAGGTTGGAAATGCCCCTAAAGAATACAGAAAGATTCCCCCAAAGTCCTAAGAAGTAAAGAAGTCCTAAGAAGTATTTAAGTCTGAAGAAGTTTAGATCTACCATGAATAGGAAAAAGATTTTTAAATTATAATAACTGGTCTGTCTCTTTGGGTCAGGCTGTATCTGAGGAAAGGAAGAGGGGAAACCAGAATCTGCAAAATCTACGACTCTCCCTGTCTTCCTGAAGCTGAAGCTATGTTTGCCATCAATGCAGATGGAGTGGGAGATGCCAAAGACTGAAGCATTGGGGGTTGTCCTGTGAGAAACCTTAAGTGCTGCAGCCTAATGAAGAGGACTGTTCCCTGGGGTTCATAGGCCTCTTCCTGTTGTAACTGCCAGAAAAAAGCTTCTGGAAAAACAGTTATTGTATCGGCTTTTCTGATGGTATTAACAGGAGACAGGTCAGTAGTCACAGACTGATCTGTTTATTCCGACTGAAGTGTATTAATTTCTATGTGAATTATTTCAGGGGAAGGAAGGAATACCTTTGACATGGTGCCTTGGGGTTGATTCAGGACTAATAGCTATCTACTGGCCAATCTTTGGTTTTCTTGCAGACATAAGCTGGGAAGACTGGATTCTTTTCTCACTGTTTGGGTAATGTTAAAATGCCTAAGTGGCAAAGAAAGTGGGTCTCCTCACAGGTTCTTTTTTTTCTGCCAGTAAAACTCTTATCCATCAGAAGCAGGTTAAGTTAGTTTGCCTGAATTATCTTAGGTAAAAGTTTGTTTTTAGTTTTAAGGGCTACAGAACAAGCCTACTGGGCCATCAGTCTGTTACCGTCTACTTGCTTGGTTTTTTTAACTACTAAGGGTAACTCAAGATAATTCTGAAATCTCAAAGTATTTCAGAGGCTCTTTAAGTAGATTTAGTGTGGGGCTGCTAATAAAGTAGTTATTTGTGCTGTTTATAGGAATTATTTTTGTATAAGCTGAATATTTCAAGATAGGGCCATAAAATAACTTTTTGGCACTGGGTCATCAGTTTCTAATGGTTTAAAACTGAAAAAAAAAATTTTTTTTTAAGATTTTATTTATTTATTCATGAGAGACACAGAGGGAGAAGCAGGCTCCACGCAGGGAGCCTGACATGGGACTCAATCCCGGGTCTCCAGGATCATGCCCTCGGCCAAAGGCAGCACTAAACTGAAAATTTTAAAGTGAAGTCATACACTCATGATTGAGCTTATTATCATTTGGTCTAGTAGAGATTATTACAAGATGAATAGCCCATGACTTCCCAGTGGCCTTTTGTGAGTTGTGTTGTAGAATCTTGACACTTGTCTAGATTATTCTACTTTAGTGGTTTGGGATCCTCCCCTTCGGACTTCTACTCAGGATGGCTTTTAAACAGCTCTTTGAATTTTAAAGGCTTCTCAGCCAGGACTGGGAAGAGAGGCCTAGAAAATCTCTGCTGTTGCCTTTGTTGATCATACTATATGTAGGGAGATAGGAAGACCCAGTCAATGCAGCTTTGTCTCTGGTCTTCTCTTTCATCTCTGTACCACAAACCAAACCTGGAATGGTATATAGTAAGGCAGAGTGGCAGATTCTGGAATAGAAGTTTGGTTCTTGTATAAAAGTATTTTAATCCTTGAGTCCTATAAACTTGTCTCAATTATTCTTGTAGATGGGAATTTATCAGGTGAGATTTTGGCCCTAAGCGTGAACTAGGTGGAATAGGCCTTGTTAGGCTAAAATAAGCTCTTTGTGCTTTACATATAACTAACCCAAGAGCTTAAACTATTTGGTGCTATTTTTCTTCTATTTGCATTAGTTTCGGTAGTAGGAAACAATTACGGAAATGTCAAGCAAGAAAGGAGCTGATGGCAAACATAGAAAGGGGAATATAATCAAATTTGGTTTATTTCAGGTTTGTACCAAAATATATTCCAGGCAACTCCTCAGAACATTGTTCCACAATCTCCTAAGCCTTACACACTGGTGTCCTTCCAAAAGCTACCAGGACTTTGGAAGTGAAGTCATCCAGCCTCTCGGCCCAGGAATAGTTAAAATTCACATGATACGTGAGAAGAGGGCACTATCCATGGGCTGCCCTGACCTTTCCTTTTACCCAGATAGACAGCCTTAGAACTCTATACTTTGGTGTTAAATATTAATAGAAAAGATTAGGGAGTACAAGTTCTGTGTTTTGTTTCTATAGCTCTTTGAAGTACATCCACCTCATCAGCAGGCTGAAAGCAGCCTTCAGTGCTATGTATACTACTCTTGATTTTTCAAGAATTCACTTCTACAGCAACCCAGGCCTTAGGTGCTTCCCCAATTTCAGATAAGGGATTAGAATAAATTAACCAGTGGGCAACAGGAAAGAAATTGGGGAATGATTATGTATACCGGTCAAACCCAGGAGTCAGGACCCTCACTTAAGCAGTCTTAGATTCCGGATGATCTAAGCAGGGCAGTTCCTTCAAGTCACTGAAATGTGACTATTCTCTTAAAATTACTTTCAATTCTTCCAAGTCCTTCTGGAAAGCTGAATCCTAGGGAGACAAAATAAGACAGTACTCAAAAATCTAAGCCAGCATTTCCCAAACCAGTGATACTGTCCCCCTTCTGAGCTCTGTTTTTCCCAGGATAGCTTGCCGCCTATAGAATCTGCCTCCTTTCCCAGGTAAGATATATACAAAGGAGCCTATATGCAAAAGTATAGACTCTATATAGGGAAATAAGACCTTAAGGGAAGATTTTCTTTCCTGAATAGGTCACGTGATTCAATAATGGAATCTGGTATTAGAAAAGCTCTTCAGGGATGCCTGGGTGGCTCAGGGTGTGATCCCAGGATCAAGTCCCAGATTGGGCTCCCTGCAAGGAGCCTGCTTCTCTCTCTGCCTGTGTCTCTGCCTCTATGTCTCTCGTGAATAAAAAGTAAAATCTTTAAAAAAAAAAAGATCTTCAAAGTATTACCTCATTGGTGATATCTGGCAGCTCCAGGGCTAACTCCAACCACTGTCTAGCTTCAGAGTTTTTCCCTAGTTCTCTGTAGCACTGAAAAGAGACAACAGTGAAAACCTGGGAGAAACACCACCAGGAGACTGGACTTTCATCTATGTTGCAAAAGGCAGGTGAGTTTACCTTGGAAATATATACCCTCCCTGCTTTGGAAAATCCTGGCTGTAGTTCTTCAGCCTAGAAAAGGGAGGAAGGCATTTCAGTTAGGGAATTGCCAAATTTAAGTTAGGCTGAAGTTTATTAAATAGAACTTTCCAGTCTAGATCCAGGGGATTCTATATTTATATCCTGTCCAGGTGGTTCTGATTTTCCCATAGAACAGGCAAGCATAAAATTGCCCCCTACCAGAAAGAAATCCCTCCCCTCCTGATACCTTTAGGAAACTTTGGAGGGCATCCTCTACAGTGGCACTGAGAGGGCTTTCAAACAAGGCTGTAGCAGTTTTTTTTTCAAGCCAGCTCAGGTGAGAGACCTGCCACAAAAGATCAAAGTGAATAAAAAGTTTTTTTAAGAGAGAGTGCAAGCTGAGGAGGAGGGGGGCAGAGGGAGAGACACAATCTCAAGCAGGCTCCTCACTGAGTGTAGAGCCTGATATGGGTTCCACCTCTCAACCCTGAAATCATGACCTGAGCAAAAACCAAGAGTCGGGCATTTAACCAATTGAACTACCCAGATGCCCCATGAATAAAAAATTTAGTATCTTTAAGAACATCAAATATGATGAAAACAGGGTCAAAGAGGTCTGGTCAAGTCACCAGTAATAGCACCATTCAGAGGAAATGGCTCTTGAGCCAGACCAGACTGAGGATCTTGCTCCCAGGTTTTCACTGCAAGATCCCTGTTAACAGGACTCTTAAAACCCCGATGTCAGGCCCTGAAATTGAGCTTACCTGGTAGCACCACCTGCCAAGGAGAAAATGAGCCATAGGGTTTTCTGGCTGGAGAGCAATGGCTTTTTCTATATGCTCCTGAGAGGAAAAATGTAAATATACATCAGAATTGCTAAGGGAAGAAGAGCAAGTCATAGAGACTGTAGGAACACCCTTTGCAAGGAGCTAGGAAAGAGCTGCACAAGGGAAGGAAAAGAAGCCTTTCCTCACCTTGAAGCTAAAGCCACTCTGGATGCGCCTCTGGATGCTCTCATGCTCAGCCAGCTGACCACAAAGCACTGCATACCTAAGGGGGAAAGCGGCAGCAAGCTCAGAGACAAGGAACGGGCTTCCCATCCACTGTCCCTTTCCCATTCTAGAGCTGAAAATAGCATTTCCATATGTATAAAAATTCCTCTTTTTCACAGATCTGTGGTCCCAATATTCTTTGGCAAACACTTGTAGTCTCATAATCCTCCAAAGTATGCCAGGTACAAAAAAGTGGATCCACCACAGTAAATTTCTCATACTTAACATTTAGGCAGTGCCTTCAGTCCAAGTCTCCACCCATTTCCCCATAGAATGAGTAGAGCCAATGGGGGTCATAAAAACAGCCAGCCAGCTTCCCATCTTCGGTCTTCAAAAACAATAGCTTCACTACCCACCCCCACCCCCCAGCATTGTTTCTAGAAGCACAGTTGACAAATGAGTGTCTAGAGACCCATGTTGCTTGTTCATTATTTCATCCAGCCAGCTGTTCCCCAATAAAGTATGAGACTATTTTCTACCCTTGGGAGTCTGGGAGCTCAAAGGAATTCCATAGGGAAGTGGCAATGAATGACCTGGCCTCTAAGAACTCTTGCAGACACAATCTGAGGACAGAAATATGGAAAGCGAGGAGGAGGTGGGAGGGGAATTTTCACTAAAACTCTGAGGTGCTGGAACAAGGCCCTAGGACACAACTTGGCCTTGACCCATGGAAGCTGGCAGAACTTTGCCTCACATGAGACAACAAGCAGGACTGATGTTTTAGTAAACTAATAAACTAAACTTCCTGGGGGTGAGTTCACATTCACTTTAAGTCATGCAAGCCAAGCAAAGAAGCCAAGTCCACCACCAGCCAGGGATCGCAGTTAGGGGAAAGAAAAGCTTGTGCAGGGCAAAGGAGCTACAAATTATGCCGGCCTCCATGAAAAGCCAAGAACCCACAAATTTTGTAGCTAGGATGACTCTTAAAAAGCTCCATATTTCTCCAAGCCCCAAAAACAACAAAAAAATCTCCAAAATCCCCATTGCCTCACTCTCCAGGGCCCCTTCCAAAGAAAACCCCCTTGTATCCCCGGTTTGGGTTAGGCCCAGCCATATGGTAATAAAGGCCAGAGCTCCCTCTCCTTGTTTCTTCTGGCAGAGAATTGGCTCTCTTCCACTCAACTCATGCTAGCTCTTTTCAGAACCCTGCAGAGTGTTATTACCACTGGTGACATTCAGCATTCTCATCCCCCTTCTCCAGGGCAGTCTCTGCTTCTTTTTTTCCTGTAGGGACAAAGGTGATCCAGAGTTAACAAGGGCACACTTCCACAAGGGGCTGTGGCAAGAATGACTGCTCTAGCTCTTACCAAACCCTACCCAACCTGAACTTGTTTGGAATAATTTTTATTTTGAACAGAGTGAAAGCTGCAAATAGTTTCTCAGGGATAACTTTTGCTTTACCTCAATCTTCCTATCTCTCTCATCAGCTGCTCAGCTACCTTTTAACACCACCTACCTGATGTGTTCAAAGCCTTTTTTTTGAGAGAGTGTGCTTGAGCAGTGGGGGTTGGGAGAGAGAATCTCAAGCAGACTCCATGCTGAGCACAGAACCCCCTGTGAAACTTGCCCTCACAATCCTGAGATCATGACCTGTACCAAAACCAAGAGTCTAATGCTTAACTGCCTGAGCCACCCAGGTACCCCTCAGCATTTTAAATATAAAAGAACCCAATGGCAATCAAACTGTCCCTAACAAGACCCTACCCTAGAGGATTATGAGCATGCTTCAGGAGGTCTATGAATCCTTCTGAAGTTGTATGAAATTTTAGGTACATGGGCATTTTATTCAGAAGGACTACCTTGACTTTTGATCAAATTCTCAAAAAACTCTATGATCTAAGAACATTAATCAGGGCTCTAGACCAAAACTCAACAGAGGCAAATGTCTGACCAGAGATGACGTTTGCTTTAGTTTTCTAGGCACCAAGACTGATAAATCGAGGCCTAAACATGAAAGCTCTTGACAAGGATCTCCTCTAGCTGAGGAACATCATGCCTACAACACTGGAGAAAGGAACACACTGCGAAATGGGATTTCTCCTTTGATTAAAATGGAGATGACTTCAAAAGGAACATGGAGAAGCTGGAGCAAACGTAATGGGTTGAGGTGATAGGCTGGCTGATGTGAAATGTTTCCTCATACTTAAATGATAGTAATTATGGTATAATGTTGTATAAATATTTTTCAAGCTGATTGATAAGAAACTCCCCTCACCCCAAGCTCAATTTCTGCTTTCTAAACTATGTGGCTCCATCAGTGAGGGACACGGTCTTAGTGGATTTTTCTCTACCCACTTCAAAGCATGATCTTACTAGAAAAATAAGAGCTGAGAGTACCTTCCTGCCAACTTGGGAGGGGTGAAAAGATACCCCACCATGGAACAGCTGCCTCGTGGTAGTCCAACTTTGAGAGAACAAAATGAAAACCTTTGGACCCATGAAGGATGGTCCTAAAAAGGGAAATTCTAGGACGACCTCTAACGATACTCCATCTGTCCTACAGCAGGAGCAGACTTATACAGGGCTGTGAAACTTAGAAAGGAATGTAGAAATTTTTAAAAAGAAAAAAGCAAACAGTAACACCTTCTGTTAAAACTTGGAGATCATCTTTCGGAGGATCTGTATCAATAAACATTCAACTCAACTGGCTTGTTCTTTCTTTATTGACAATTCTACAAATGCTTAAAACAATGACCTTGAGGTATTGTCACATTCTACATTAGCAAAGATTCAATGTTTCTAAGTGAGGAGGTAGTAATTTTCCAAAGTGGGTGTCTTTTTTTTCTTTTGAAGGTTTTATTTATTTGATAGAGACCGAGATCCAGAGAGATCACAGAGGGAGGGAGGGAGGAGGGAGGGAGGGAGGGAGGGAGGGAGGGAGGGAGGGACCAACTCACCGCCGAGCAGAGAGTCCAATGCAGGGCTCGATCCCAGGACCCTGAGATCGTGACTTGAGCCGAAAGAAGGCAGATGCTTAACCGACTAAGCTACCCAGACGCCCCAGATAGTTTTTTTTTTGTTTTTTTTTAAGATTTATTTATTTACTTATTCATGCGACAAGCAGAGAGAGAGGCAGAGACACAGGCAGAGGGAGAAGCAGGCTCCATACAGAGCCTGACACGGGACTCGATCCCGGGTCTCCAGGGTCACGCCCTGGGCCGAAGGCGGCGCTAAACCGCTGAGCCACTCAGGCTGCCCAACAGTTAACTTTAGATGTCTAACTGAACCACAAGACCTCGAAGCCTGCTGACCGTGCCCAACTTGTGGTGTGTGGCTAAACAGGACACATCTTCCCCACAAAACCAGTGATTTTTCAAAGTCCCATGATTCTACATGACATGACAGATAGGGACAATCCCCGAGTTTGGTATAATTCATATGCACCCTACCTGCCAGGATACAGATTTTGGCAACAGTTGTTAGGTAGATCCCTAGGACTCCTAAGCTAGTAGCATTCTTCCAAACTGCTTCTTGTAGGCATTCACTAAACACACTCTACTCATATTCTTAGAGAATACCTGCCTTACAGCCTCCATGACTCAAACCAGATTTCTAAGCAGCAGCAAAAAAAAAAAAAGAGAGAAAAGAAAAGAAAACCACCTATTTTTGATTAGATTAAGAAAGCAGGCTTTGGGCCTCTCTTGCAGCTTTGGAGTGAGAACAAAGAATTATGCTAGTATGATATGGCTACCCCTAAAAACATTTACACCTGTATTAATCACGATGTGCAGGGAAAGCAGAGACTGCTATCTCAAGAAGGAAGAAGTCCCTGAGAACCAGAGTTTGTCCCTAGTAAGTAAATGAGCCACAACTGCCTCCACAGCCTAAATCTTGGTGGCTCCCCAGAGCCCCAAACACACGGGCCAGCCTGTGCTTAGAGTCAGTCAGTCACCTTCCCGTCAGGAATCTGTCAGCACTTACCATTCAAGGCATATGACTTCTTCTCGCTCACCTCTTCTGTGAGCTCACACATGTCACTATAGGCCCGGGCCAGGCGCCAGAGAAAGTCCTGCCGGCTTCCATACTGCAGACCAAACAGAGAGGGATGGATGAGGCCCCTCTTCCTTAGCTGCAGAGAATTGGGGCTCTGGCCTTCTCCCCATGCCCTACCTTTGAGTTTCCAAGCTAGTGTTACAAACTGACATCAGGCCAGCCTTATGCATAGCACTCCACCCCCACACCACCTCCCACCTGCAGTTAGCTAACTGATGCTGCGTCATCTCTAGCCAGCAGATTGCATAACCTTCAGAGTGAGGGCATTCTGGCCTGATACTGTGAGGAGGAAAGGTCAACTCCAAGATGAAATAAGGCACAATGAGAAGTCTTGCTGATAGTGAAAAATGTGAAAATGCCCAAGAAAAGGAAAAAATTCTAACTGGGGCATTTATAGCTGGTGAGCATAAATTCTGGCAGTTAACCAGAAGAGGGAACTGTGGTTGAGTGACCTACACTTTTGTCACTTGTGATGGAAACTTCAAGTAGGGCAGTCAGCTTGGGCTCTACCTCAAGGGCAATAAAAGAGGAAAAGAATATTCCAGCTCTTTCTACATTTCTCTCTACTCTAAGAAGGAGAGCTCTTTTGCAATAGCTATATAGGAGGCAGACGACCGTAGGGAGGAAGCTCTGGGGCAGGCGGTACACCTAGGCCCCAAGAAGCAGTGCATGGCCTACTTGGAATAGGATGTGCAACCCTGAGGGATACATACAGAACCAGTCACCTCACCTTCATTTCCCTTCCTATGTCACCTTGCAGGCTTAGAAACTACAGTGGCCTTCCTCCATTCGCAGGGGGGCTGGGAGGTTATAAGGGCAGACAGGCAGCTGGAACCTTACCACCAGCTTGTTGTTGAGCAGCAGCTGGAAGCCCTCCCGCTTGCCCTGCTCGCCGCCCTGGTGAAGCTCGTCAGCCTGCTGCAGGAGGGGCAGCACATCATCCAGGCCAGGGAAGCCTCCAGTCTCCAGGGCTCTGGCCACCGGGCCCGAAGCCATCTCCACTTCCAGGTCCAGAGAATCCTTCCTCCCCATCTTCACAGTCTCACAGCTCACTTCATCTTCCCCGTCATCACTTTCCCTGTCAGAGTCCCGCTCATAGTCAGACTCAGCATTGGCTGTTGTGTAACTGTGGCAGAGAAATGTAAGTGACAGAGTCAAGGGAGAGTATTAGCCTCAGGACTCTAGGATCTATCTCCCACCCACAAAGAAGGGCTCTTACGATGCTGCTTGCTGTCCAGAGCGCCATGTAAAAACCATTTCTACCACTTAGGGGCAGAAATTAGTGCTTGAGAGAAAGCTTCCTATGGGAACTATGGGCTGGGAAAATGATCCTAGATGGAAAGCGTGACCAGCTGGGGGCAATATGAGAACTCCCTGTTGAGCTACCACCAAGTTGGTTAGATAATCAGAAAAAGAAAAAGGCTAGAAAGCAGCAGCCTAGAAAGGAATGCATCAAAATGCTGCTAGTAGAACTCAGGATAAAAGAACTAAAGGAAATTTTTCTACTTTTTAACATATATGATTGCTTTAGTGAACATACATTTTTATAAGTAAAAAAGGAATACTTAAAATAAAAACCATAATGTAAGTAGAGCTGATCTGAGGTAGATGTGAGCCTGGCTAAGGGTTTGTCAGTCATGTTTGCTTTATCAGCCAAAAGCACCCACCAGAAACAACATGGGTGGGTGCCAGCCTCTGAGGCCATGGGCAACCCAAATATCTACATTTTCTTTCCCAATTCAAGGTACACCTCTGTCCTGTCAGCAACCAAACCTGAACCACAGTAGAAAGAGCACCTGGAAACCTTAGGAACTTGCTGGGGGAGGGGAAAGGCCACTTTGCAGCTACACTCAGGAGAGGAAGATGCAAACAGAACCACCTGGGAAGGTATGTCTGGGGCCGCCACAAGCCGGACCTATCCAAGGATAGGTCTATTCTTGGAACCCCCTACCTTGATGCACTCCCTGAAGAGGAGGCCACGTTTCTCTTGGATATTGGCCTTCACCAGTGGCTGATTAGGGTGCTCTCCCCAACTGCCAACTGAATCAGACAAAAACTGAGCAGAGGACAATGTCGGACTTCTAGGGCCTGGAAGCAGATACCAGAGAAACCTCCAGATTTGAGTGAAGGAAAAGCAGATTCAATCAGAGCCAGAAGGTTCTGAAGCACAGGCAAGACCTTAGGATCATTTAGGGATATGCCTTCCTCCATCCTGGAATGAAAAATAGGGACAGGATACCTATGCCTGGCACAAAACAGGCCTGAAGGAGAAATGAGCGAGGCACCTACAAGTAAAGGCAGGACAAAACAGCATCAAGTCTGACTGCAAGTGGTAGGCCAGAAAGCCAGACACAAGGAGGCAGGCTTCGTCTGGAAGGTACCAAGTGAGCAACCAGACCGAGTGCCCAGTCCATGCTGTTGCTTCACAGAGGAGCTTCCAGACTCATCTAAAAAAGGGCCCCAGGAACAGCTACTACAGGAACTTAACCTTAACTTCACCTTACTTTTAAATATATTATCCAAGTTCTTTCCCCTCTAGCAATCTGCAGTAAAAACTTTTGAAATTAAAGGGACAAAGAGAAGTGGCATCAGATTTACAATGAACTTGGGTGGTGACGAACAAGACCGCACAGAGGCAGCCTAGACAGACTCCCAACCAATTCTGAAGGCTTGGACAATAACCTGCCCAAATGAGAGAATCAAATCAGAGTCTACCAGAGCCTCCTACTCAGCCCAGCAGGCCCAAAGGCAAGATGGGTAAATGGGCTATCTGGATAAAGAGCTAGAGTCTCGCATCTCCTATTACTAGAGAGAAGGGGAGACACTACTGCCTGCTGAACTCCCTCCAATGAGGCATTCAAATCAGGAGTCTCCCAGCGAGGGACCCCTGCTCTTCTCCCTCCTAGAGCATAAGTATCAGCATAGTCTCTCCAGTGAGCTGAGCCAGGAGGAATGTCCAGCACTGCCAGGGAGCTCGCATTGCTGAGCAGGAGGAGTGGTCAGGAGGGACTTTGCTGGTGGGGCCTGTGAGGCTCTTATCACACCTCAGCCCCACATCAGGGAGCTGCCTCGCTAATCTGCCACCCTGCTGGCTGGCACGCAGCGGGGGGGCAAGCACCTGCTCAAGAGCACAGACATCAGCCCCCATGAGCTTCTGGGGCTTCCGCAGCTATGAAGGCTGTCTCTATAGTCACACCATACTCTCACACATCTCAGAACACCAATCCAGCCCCGGGAGAAATCCACCAGGGACAGGGGTGACCTTTTAACATGCCCTGGGGCTTTTGAGATCTACCAGGGCCTGGGAGGGACCTTTGAGATGGCTCTTTGGAGCTGTGCCCTTGGCTGGAACACACTGTTCCCACAAACGGAAGAGAACCCATGGCTCCCGCGGAGCAAGGAGGCCAGAGCTACCCTACTCTACCCCTTGAGGAGGGCCCACAAGTCAGTGATCAAGGACTCAGTTATATACATATTCCCTTCTGATAATTAACTTTCTTTCTTTTGACTCCTCCTAATCCCCATTAGAGGGGCTGAGCTAAAGCATTCAAAGGCAACCAGGGCTGGGAGACTCCCAGTGGTGGGGTAGATAAGAGCAATGTAAATGAGGTGATAAATGGCCAAGAAGGAGTGGCAATGAGGTTTCGGGCA